TATATGGTAGTATATTCTTATCATTTTTATTATATCTTAAACAATAAATATCGTCTATTGAATTCGTATAAAAAAAAGAAGGAATCTATGGGACAACCTAATATTAAAATTAATCCTTCTCCGRAACAAAGTAAAATGAAAATTGCATTTAAAAATTCTTATTAGTGCAGTGTACGGTACCCCTGTAAATGTATAAAAGTTATTAAAAAACATTATAAGGTAATTAGTTTCTATAGATGAAATGGATAGACGGAACCAAGGAAAAGAGTAAAAGAATATGGTATTAATTAGGAAGTTAAAAGAAACTAATTACAATTATAATGTTTATGGTAAGCGGTCTTTGGCTGGATTTTACTTGCAATAGAATGTATATCATATAAAATATGATAAACATTATACTGAAAGTAAAATACCATTGCCCAGGTCTAACCACGGTACCACCAAGGTAACCGCTTCTGAAGACCCGAGATGTGCATCCTAAAGATGTCCACATCCGAATTAAATTGAAACCAAAGAAAATGATAACACCGGGAACGGTTTTTAATGAGCCCCACTCTTAGGCCCCACCCTAAGAGTTTAATTCAAAGAATTCTTACAATTAATTACCATCGAAATTGAAGAGAAAAGTTTGAAAACTGAATGAGAAAATGAAAACGAAGGGTGCATCTGAAAACAATTCAAGTTACATCAATGATTTTATTGAAAATTAATACACTTTAGTATAACGTTATTTTAGTACCGAGACATTATTTTTTGTAGTAACTTAATATTTGTACTTTTCCTATTTCTTTATTTTTATATATTTTATGTAAATGTAAAATCACGTGTTTAAAATTAATTTTCATTACATGAGATAATAGAGATTTGATAAAAGTAAATAGAGTATTCAATTGAAAAGTGCATCTGCGAATTGGACGATTTATATGTCAGGCCATTATATTACTCTTGATTGCATATTAATATAGTTTTCTTTTTGTTATAGGTGATCATCGTTGGATTTATCATCTACTCGTTTTGATTTTCTTCTACTTTTTAAAATATATATGTATAAAAAACGCATTTCTGAAGGCACACACGTATTTAGACACTAAAAATTAAATATAATTATTTAAAATTTTCTTACAATATAACTATACTATGTATACTATTAAAGAATGTTGTATTCTTTGATAGAATTGTACCGTCATCGCGTTAAGTACATACTATCGTCCAATGGTGGTCCCAGTGCTAACAAAAATGATTCTGGGTAGATAAAAAAGGGGACTTGTGAGTTTCTATATACTTGACCACAAAAAAGTTGGCATAGAACCGCAACAGCAGAAAAAAATGAAAAAAAATGAAAATATTTACCTATTGTTTATACATTATGAACGATTAACTTATTTCTTTTCACTACCTTATATATTGTTACTTTGGAAATCAACTTTAAATATATCCCCTGCAGGTATATATATCAATTTTACTTTCATTGCATGCGTATAACATATCTTCCACTCATGATGTCGCCATTTCATAATTATTCAAAGTGTAATAATTATTTTCAATTAATTAACGATAAATAAAAAATATTTAATAAAATAAAGTTGAAAATTTTCAATTTTATTTTGTTCTGCTGTTAAAGGTATCGGCTAGCGTATCTACGGTACTTCTGTATTCTTTGGTTTCGGTATCACTTCGCGGGTAAAACAGTGTTTGTTTACGATTAGTCCAGTGATCCCGGTTTGCATCTGCATTTATTTTATCTTTACCATATATCGTAATTATTTTCTTTTAAACATGGGTAAAAAGGATAAAAATAAGAAAAAAGTAAGTGGCATGGTTAAAACGGCTATTAAAACGGAAAAGAAATTAAATGCTAAACAGAAGAAAGAATTAGCAGCTCTTGGAGAGGTTAGTTTTCAATGTTTTCTTATACAAACAAATGAATGTATTAGAAGTACATTACTATTTATAATTTGATATTGAATTAATTATTTGGTAACTTTAGGAAGATATAGAAAAGGTTATTGCTGATATTGAACGAGAAGAAGCTCATAGACAACGTGTCGTAGAAATTGTAATAGAACCACCGTCTCGTAGGGTTAATTTTTCTTTCGTAGCTCATCCTTTTAAAGATGAGCTTATTATGTTCGGTGGAGAATTTCACAACGGTCAAAAGGTTTCATTTTATTAATTACAAATTAACTGTATTTGCATCAAAGTTTTTATTTTAATTACAATGTTCATATTATCCAGACAACCGTGTACGGTGACTTGTTTACGTATAATTTAAATAAAAAAGAATGGACGGTGATAAAGGCACCGAGAGCACCACCACCTCGATGTGGTCATCAAGCAATAATTACCTCTACGAATAAAGGAGAGATGTGGATCTTTGGTGGAGAGTTTTCTAGTCCATCCGAATCACAATTCTATCATTACAAAGATCTGTGGGTTTACAGAATAGGAGAGAAAAAGTGGGAAAAAATAGTGTACGTTATAAATATAAGATTGCAGTTTTTGAACATGAACTTCCTCGATATGAAAAATGATATTATTGTATACATTGTTTATTTAAGATCTCCTGGTGGTCCATCAGCTAGAAGCGGTCATCGAATGGTTCACATGAAAAAGAAATTAATAGTATTCGGAGGCTTTTATGATAACCTTAGAGATTATAAATATTATAACGATATTCACATGTTTCATTTGGAAACATATACATGGCACAAAATTGAATGCGCTGGTAATTTAATAAAATTATTTAATTATAAAACAATATTTTGCATAAAAAGAAAATGTTATTTAGATAAAATTGTTCAGGAAATCCGCCAACACCACGTTCCGGATGTATAATGTTGCCAGTGTCTGAAAAACTACTCGTTTATGGTGGCTATAGTAAAGACAAAATAAAAGTAGAAGTCGACAAGGGACAAGTTCATACAGACATGTTCTTATTATCTCAGGATAGTAAGAATATTTATATACATTTTATTCTTAGATTAGTTTTATCTGTTATAAAATATATGAATTTTTGTAGAGAATGATCAAACTGGTCTTAAATGGAAATGGTTATTAACAAAACAGACAGGTCTTAAATGTTCTCCTCGTTGCGGTATGACTGGTGTTTTAGTACAACCGCATTTAGCATATGCATTTGGTGGAGTTTTTGATAATATAGATGATGAAGAAGAATTACAGGGAACATTTTATAATGATTTGTTGTCATTAGATTTAGAAAAATTTCAATGGCGCGAAGGTAAAAAAAAAATGATCTAATTTATTGTAATTTAAATATAATTGTTTTAAAATAATGTACATCGTTTTAAATACAGTTACATTGACTGGTAAAAGAGAACAACCAGGGCAACGTAAAAAACAGAAAGCACAAAAGGAAGATCAAGTGGATCAATGTAATTCGCATGAAGATAAAGAAAGTTTTGATAATCATAAGAATTCAGAAACAGAAATAAACGATTCTAATAAACCCGTGCAATCTCCAATAATTTATACTGATGAGGATGACGTATTTACAGTTAGTCTTTTTGTTTATTATATATATATACATATATATTAAATATAATGTAAATTTATTTGTTCTATTATACCAGTTAACAGTTAGTTCGAGTGCTCCATGTAGCACACAGACAAGTAATACGAAAAAAGCTGAAAATATATTTGTTCCTTCGCCAAGAATAAATCCTGGGCTTGTCGTAAAAAATAATATTTTGTATTTATATGGTGGCATGTTGGAAGTCGGTGATAAACAGTATACTTTCAATGATTTTTATAGTTTAGGTATGTCAGGTGTAAATATTTGAAAAATATTGTGCAATATCTTGATGAATATTAATAATGCATATTATAGATTGTCGTAAAATGGATGAATGGCAAACTATAATACATGATGATTTATCCTCACAAGAATGGAATAACACAAGTAGTTCTGACTCAGAAGATGATGATGACGGCGATGATGATACGAGTAATAATTCGTCTGATAATGAGTAACGTAATTGTTAAATAAATTGTCTATATTTATTTTATAGAAATATTATATATATCTAATAAATTATTTTAATTAATTCCTCCAATATACATATCAGTTTTAATATATTTTTAAAAATATATAAATAGTCTCGTGATTTACGAATAGCTACAAACTTGCGATATTTATATCGTTGTCTTAACTAATTATTATAAAAATATAAAAAGAAAAGTAACAAATTTATGCCATTAATAAAAATATATTTTTTTATTAATAAAAAATAAAGACATATAGTAATATATAAAAACATTATATATAAAAACATTATATAGAACAATTTATCATAATGTATGAAACACCATAATTATTGATATTACCCAAATGCAATATACGACGCATTACGATCAACGATTTTTTATAAATATACATTCAATTTAATAGAGAGAAAACAATATTTCCATAATGTAATCTATTCAATTTATATAACATATAAAATTTATTTAAATTAATGAGTATAAAATATAATTTTTAATTGCAAATATAATTATATTATATTATTTATATAATTATATAAATTTGTATATGTAGCTCTAAAATCACTAGTAATCTAAAATTTATTCATGTATTCATATACAATCTTTTTAATTGTAATTTCCAAAAGTTGGCAAAAATTTGACCCTTTAATTATTATCGATCCATTTATAAAACGGTTACATGTTATTAGTTAAATATTTATCATTTTGATAAATATTTAATTCGATTAATAGTTTATATATTACCCATTTCCAAGATAATATTTATTTTTAACCCATTACAAGTTACCCAATTTCTTAAAACTGTTTGCGTGATCTTAAAAAGTTTTCCCAGGATACGCATTAATAAAGAAATACTTGGATCCGTATAACCCCGTGATTTTCGTAAAATATATGAGTTTTTTCATCGGAAGTAGAATTATAATCGAGAACGTAGTAAATCGATTTTTTTGGCTGCACGTTTTTGCAAATCAATTAATTTCATAGCAAAGCCTATATTACCTTGAAGTTTAATTTTACCTTGAAAAAATGCTTTTTGTGGATTTAATTTTCCTGTGATAAAATCATTTATATCATTATCACTGATGATAAATGTAATATCAGGCTTACTTTTACCATTTAATTCTACTGATCCTTTGCCTGTTTTAGCATTTATTACCCAATATGCTTCTGCACCTCCGGGCCCATTTATCACTTTAATTCCATAAATTCCACGAACTTTTTCTATCAGGCCATCCGTATCTTCTAACATTGCAATTTCAAGTAATTTAAAAAGCGGACCAGCTTTGAAAGAATTCGGATCGACGCTGCCAGTTTTATTCTGTTTAACAGGGCCAGAAGATACAGCTTTTTTCACGAGATTAGGTACACTGTCAGGAAAGCCTAATTTATATAAAGCAACGATAACAGCACCGCCTAAACCTATATTATGTTGTAATGCTAATTTCGCTCCTTGCACTTGTCGTTTTCCAGCTTGTCCTCGGAGTTGCCAACAAAGTTCTGCACATTGTGCAATGCCCGTAGCTCCTAAGGGATGTCCTTTGGAAATTAAACCTCCGCTAGGATTTATGACATACTTTCCACCATATGTATTATCTCCAGAATCCACGAGTTGTCCACCTTTGCCTGGAGGACAAAGTCCTAAAGCTTCATAAGTGATCAGTTCGTTGGTTGAAAAGCAATCATGCAACTCTATTACATCTACATCTGCCGGTCTGTACTTGGTTGTCGTGAAAACCTTCTCTGCAGCATTTCTAGTCATATCATATCTAAAAACATATTAATATAGTTGATTTTTCTTATAATAGATAAAAAGTAACAGAAAAATAATTATGTCTTTTACCCAATAAGTTTGATGCAACTATTCTCTGTGAATGTGGATGGCAAGTCGGTAGACATTTCCATTGCTAAAATTTCTACTGCTTGTGACTCTAATCGATGTTTACGAACAAAATCTTCATTAGCTAAAATAGCAGCTGCTGCACCATCAGAAGTAGGACAGCATTGAAGTTTCGTAAGAGGTCCAAATACATTTGGAGATTTCATTATTTGTTGTAAAGAATACTTTTCTTGAAACTGAGAATATGGATTATTTACGGAATGTAAATGATTTTTATAAGCAATTTTTGCAAAATGTTCAGCTTTTGTCCCATATTTCTTCATATGTTCGAGACCAGCATTTCCAAACATTTGGGCAGTAATTGGTTTTTCATTTATTCCTATAATAAATAATATATTACAAATTCATATATAAATGTACATCATACATACATATGGTTTATAACTTACCAGCAATATCGGCCATAAGTTGAACATGTTTATCCATTGGATTCGTACGATCTAAAAATTTAGATGTCAATGAACCTTGTTCCATTTTTTCAAAACCAAGAGCTAAAGCGCAATCGGCATTTCCACTTTCTATGATTTGCTTAGCCAGCATTAACGCAGTTGATCCAGTTGAACAATTATTATTTACATTATAAATAGGACAACCATTCAATCCTACTTCGTAAATGGCTCTTTGACCACAAGTTGAGTCTCCGTATACATATCCAACGCAAGCAGCTTTGATATCACTGTATGGGACATTAGCATCTTTCAAAGCATTGTTTAACGCTTCTTTTGCTAATTGTGGAAAATCTGGACCATCCTGTTTTCCAGGTTTCTCAAATTTAGTCATCCCAACACCGATCACGTATATTTTACCTTTGAGACTCATCTTTCTTAGTTTGGTATGACAAGTACTAAGAATTGATCTAATTTATATCAAAATATTTACTAGTCGTCCTTTTCCTATACATCAAAATAAAAATACAAATTGTTCGTTTATATTACAATTCAAATAATCCTGGATTAATTATGCTAATAAATAATAAGAGACTCACCGATTTCCTCTACCGAAGAAATACAATAAAATCGAAGAATGACAATTAGAAATTGATTAAAGTTGAACTTTAACCAGTTTCTTCACAACTTATTAATAACATTTCTAACAGATACTATAAATGACGAATCAGTTTCGAGATCATGTAATAAAAACTTTAACTTACATTTTCTCTATCACACAATACACATGTAACAGTAAAGTGTTTCAAGAAGCAAGTGACGATTGGTACAAAGCAAGATTACAGTAACGAATCATTAATCAGCTTTAATAAGAATCTTACTACAAGTAATCAATTGATATTGTCAAAATGTTAAAACTAATTGAAATATTTAAATGTTTGTCTATAAAAACAAATCAAATTAATAATAATATATAAATTCATATAAAAAATAATGAAATATTATAATATAAAATAAATATAATATCTAGAATATTATTTAAATCGTATAATATGTGGGTCATCAATTCCCTTAGAAAGTGCCATATTTACACAGCAAAAGGCGCCACAATTTGAATCAGACGTAACACCTTCAAACAACTGTGTAATAGAATTTCTTTTAATCGACTAATATCTACGTACAAAAATTCTAATACAAATATTATCAGGAAAATATAATTGAATAATAGGATAAATAATCAAATTTGTAAATTCCATTGACTTTCGTAATATCATATTTTAAACCACGACCATATTGGGTAGATGCATTTTTGTAAAGATAACGCATAAAATTCGAGTAAGTTTTAATCTTTGTCTAGATAGACATCGATTATTATTGAAGAATATTCACGCTTCCAGTGAAATATTCAATATCCAGGAGCAATTGTACCGATCGTTGACGTATTTTGCCGAGCCTGATACGCATGTCTTGAGAAGATCCTTTGATAGAGAAAGGGAGAGAGAAGATAAATGGTGGTAACGATGATGGCGAGTGGTAAGAGGATCAGATTCGTTTGGAGACGTAAGAGGGACGTAAAAGCATAGGGGGTGCGGAGCAGTTAGTGCGCGGCGGGGTGCGCTTCCCGATGCAGGTCATGATTTTGCTCCAGGTGAACGTGCAACGAAATATCCAGAATCCATTCGACAACATCAACGAGACTCGTGAATATGTTTAAGAACGTTGCGTTCGCAGTGCATGGGTGTTTAATAATATTATATCTTTATTTTCGCTTTAAGTTTATTCTTTTTTACGAAAAAAAAAATGTATATATATATATATATATATATATATTTATACATGCATGAATCGCACGTTATCCTGTCCTTTTTTTCTATGTTAAATAAATAGAGTTGCTCTCTTTCTATATATATATATATAATGGAAAAAATTGTGGGATTAGGTTCAGGGGATGGAGAAGTAAAGAAATTGTTCGGCATGTAGTACATACGTATGTACGCGAGAAATACACATATGGGACAAAAAAAAACTTGACGAGCAAATAAAAGAAGAGATATTTTTTGCTGTAAAAATGAAGCCAACATTTTTATCTGTCGCAATATTATGCTTTGTACCGAGGAATGAGATACAAAATTTACTTTGGCATTAGTGTTATTTTTCACAGATTCGCGTATTTTTGCGATATCTCTTTGCCGACGATCTGGCCGAATGCATCTGTACTACCGAAGCCAAGTAAATTCTTGCACTGGAAGAAGGGAATTAAATATGACGTTGCTTCACGACTATGCTTTCTGGCGAAAAACAAAATTTTTCTGTCAGCAAGAAAAACCGGTTAATGGTGGCCCAACCATCGATTGCTCCGTTATACGGTACCCGTACGTAGCAGCATGGCTCCACAATACAGGTAGCGACAATTTACATTTTTTAAGACAAATTTTTTGTTTTTTTTCTTCGATATATGTAACGTATATTTGTATATCTCGAACGGATAATGTCTAGCAACGATCGATAATTATCTTTCGATTTTATTATCCAAATTTCTTTGCGAATTTATATATATATTTTTCAAAAGTCGTTTACGTTCATTCGTAGAAAAACCTTCAAGGATATCTAATTTTTGTTTCCGAGTATATATGCGTAGGATAGAAACTGTATATAAATATACCAGTAGCATATATAAGTTATATGCTTCGAACTCTGCAACAGTTGAAAGTAAGCTTGTTGCGTCAGCCTGTTGATTACAAGTACTTGAGTTCGCATTTATATTTTCACGAATTTGAAGCTTTTCATTCCACATGTTTAATCGCGATATTAATGTTTAAATATACAGAACGTTTCGAAGTGGCAAAATGAAGTTATAACGTTAATATCATAATGTTATAGCGTTGAAAGCGCCTAAATGTTGTTCACTTTCAGCTAGAATAGACGTGGCGTAGATCAAGTCATTCAAGAATAGAGAAAACCGCAACAGGTTCTAGAGTGTTTCGATCGTAACTAAAACTCCTTGATAACATATACTGCGTTTTGCTTTTATTTCGATGGGATTTGAATTTTTGCCGATTGTAATTTTTATCTTCCTTTGCCTGCAAGGAGTATGCTTCGAGCTGTTTAAAATCAATAGCAAGGTTAAAGGCCTCTGCACACCGAAAGTAGTACGATTTATTTGTTCTATCAATCTTTTATCATTGTCGCATATAAAAGGGTTGCATTCAAAATTAGGAATATTCAAAGTATCGTATATACGTATGTCTCTTCCTCAAATGTCTTCTTTTTCATACGTATGATCATTTTTTATTCAATCGCATTCGTTGTGTACGGACCTTTTCCTTTAAAAGAGACTCACACATAGTGCAATTGTTCTGTTTGGTGGAAATAGATATAAACAATCGTTAAGTTCCTTTTCTTTATTCTAAAACATTATTTTCGATAGATTAGACCGATTCAGCACGCAAGAAACATAGAGTAACATTTTCTCAATGGAATAGCAACCACCGACCGGTTTATAATTAGAGGAAAATTTTACTAGGTCACACTTCGATCAAGCGGATGTTCGAATAATAAAATGCATTTATTATTTTAATGAAATAAGTTAGAAATTTTTGGCGAATGATAGGTCGATTAATTAATATTATTTCTTTCATCGTCGAGGATCATATTTCCCTCCCCCATCCTCCAGCCCCGAATAAACTTCGACTTAGTTACGTCGATCTGCCAATTCGAATAAGATTTAATCTTATTCGACCTATTATGAAATTTTAGAGGTAGATCTTCCTAACCAGATTCAACGATATTAAATGATAGTTGATTATGATTGAATTGAGAGCTTAGAATTTCGCGTGCAAGTTAAATAAAAGACGGAGCTTTCTCCATACACCCTCTTATCCCACTTACCCCTAGAGTGGAACAACGGAGGACGTATAGAGTTCGAGTATGAAAGGGAACAGCGAGAAAAGAGGGAGGTGGTAACTCAAGCCGGAGACCAACTCGAGCCCGCTGACCACTTGTCCAAGATAGCTGCCGATCGATCAGGCTATCTCATTATTCTGAAATCTGCTTACCGTTCGTGTCTACATACTCGTACACAAGCCAGTTACTCTTAATTGAACTTCAATAATTTCCGGTTTATCACATTTTGCAATATTTCTCCGGAAACTCGAGCAGAACTATGTTTAAATTCTGTACACCCGTTATGTCTGATGCGAGCTCAATGAATGTGCTTTTTACAGTTCGCTGAGAGTTGTCGTGTTTTCAATTTTAATTTCACTGCTCTCTATATGGAGATGACAATAATATAAAAATATATAATTTCAAATATATATGGTTGATTCAATGATTGCCTTTTTTTTTGTTTCTTCTTTTTATTTTTTGAGACAAATGGCTACAGCACTAGGTCCCGTGTGCGGTTACTATTTGCCCAATGTTCATTGAATTTTCCATTTTTCAAATTATACTTTTTTATGTTTAGCCTATAATAATTACATTTAATAATTGTTATATTGTAACTGTAACCCCCCAATACGACAGCTCTCGTTTATATCAATTATCATCCAATGAAAATGATTACATCGATCTGATCGAGTTTGCTAATTGTTTCCGATGAAATGATTGAATTTATTAACTATGCGATATCTTGAACCGATAACGAGCGATATCGGGAATGAAAATGTTTAGGAAACATCGTTGGAAGATATCTCGACAAGTATACAGATTATTTTGATTGGAAAAATAATTGCAGGTTATCAACCTTCAACATTCACCGTATTCTCATGGAAAATATCATGATAACACGTGAGTTCAGTGATTGCGGAACGAGGATTACCATCTTCCATGATTTGTATTCTCTACCAATGATGCGTTTCCGAAGACGGATCCATCCAGGATTTAATCTGTTCGATCTTGTGGATGATGAATTTTTGGGAATTCGGTAATCGTTCCATATATGTTAAGAGAAAACAATTTGCGTTGGCATTGGAAAATGGTCTTTTTCTGAGAAGTACCATACATCCTCGACAAATGATCAACATCGTTAATCTCGTATCATTTTTCTCCTATGCATCAATTATTTAATACCAACGGCTTTAAAGATGATACGAACAAGTTACCGATACTTCTACATTTCCTAGTCAAGATTTTCATTTGCGAGCGGATATTAAAACGAATTTATTCGCACAAATTATTTTTCATTTTTAAACGTTTTTTTTCTTTTTCCATATCGCAAGAGTCTTGAAAGTTATTTACCGAAACGATAAATTGCCTTTCGAAACTTCTCACGTAATTTTGATTCGTTTCTTCTTCTCGATACCAACTTTATTTTTCCTCTTTAATTATTATTCTGTTGCTGTTTTAGATGCAAAGATATTTATGCTTTGAAGATTATAATGTTATCACGATAAAAAACAAAATTAAAATATATCATTTACTGCTGACCAAACATCGACGAACAAAATGTCATCATCTGTTATAATCATGAAACAACTATAGAAATTCTACGAGTTACTTTCGTTGCTGATGTCAAACGGAATGGCCGCCACTGTGAATTTTCAATCGATATCGTTGAATTAAACGAATCCTAAATACATATACATATTAAAGCTTTTGCACAGAACAATTGAAATATATCATTTCGATTAGAAATTTAATTATAAATTGTTTCTCGGCAAACTAACAAGGAATATTATTTTCTTAATATTCCCTTTCGTATTTTTTCAGAACAATTTGACGATCGGTGATGAAGAAGCTCTACCTGAAGAGGCTTCCACGTTGCTGTCGGTGCTTCTAGTCGGTTCGCCAAACTTCATATTTAATTTAAAATTCATTTTTTACGATTTAAGGAATATCGCGTATATACGTTGCGCAATAATTTATCAACTAGCTAAATTCAGCCTTTTTCATTTCCATATTCATCATTCGAAACATCCGTAAATCTTGTAAAACCTTTTCAATCCCAGCTAATCTTTTTCCAATAAGCGATTCAGTCGTGGCCTACTTTTAAGCTTTATCATAGCTGTCAGAACGAAGAAAGGATTATTTTTGCACGACAAAACAAATCTCTAATTCTACCTATTCACGATTATGCGAACCACCTCGTTATGAAATTTTGCGTGCGAAATAGAATTTATTGCGCATCGTAAGTAAGAGCAAGAAAAAAGCAAGGTGTCGTATATATTCTCTCGACACCTTTTACGATAAATTATTATTTAGAAATTCATTGAATTTCAATTGATTTTACAGATACGTATCCTATAGTTAACGGAGAAACAACAAAACGATTGAGAATATCATTTAAAACGAAAGTATGCCCCCAGATGTTCCAGAAGTGTTCATTCATCGATTTTCATTTGAATTTTGCAGGATTCCTGCTGCTGATACTTGTATTTTTATCAGTCGCTGGCAATGTCCTAGTTTGCGTAGCAATTTACACTGACCGAGGATTGCGAAGAATAGGGAACCTATTTCTAGCATCCCTTGCGATTGCTGACCTCTTCGTCGGTTGTTTGGTGATGACATTTGCCGGCGTAAATGATCTTCTCGGATACTGGGTCTTCGGCACGCAATTCTGCGACACTTGGATCGCTTTCGACGTTATGTGTAGCACTGCCTCTATTTTGAATTTATGCGCTATATCTCTTGATCGTTACATTCACATCAAGGATCCGCTGAGGTAAATGAACATTTTCTCTTTCGTTTGTTCTGTTGGAAAAAAAGAAAAAAAAAGAAAAAAAAAAAAGGGAAAAGTTTGGTTGTATATTGGTTATATATATGGTGGTAGATACGGTCGCTGGGTAACAAGGAGAATTGCAACTGCTGGGATCGCTGTTGTGTGGCTATTAGCAGGTCTCATTTCTTTCGTGCCGATCAGCCTGGGTCTTCATAGAGCAGATCAGTTCCTGGTTTATAATGATGGGAAAGAGGTAACGATAGTGCAAGACTTCACATGCGACCAAAATAACTTTTGACTATTGGGACATCGATTATCTCTGAAAATACAATACTCATGACAGAAGGATACGGGTTAAGCATCTGGAACGGATATGTAAGGATCTCTATAGAGATCGCGTGGTAGAACAATAGGAGTAGGCATACTTACAAATCATTGATCAACACTACAAGAATCTCATTCAGCCTTCTTTCGAATTCGGGCGTCCGAGTAAGTGATAATCATAATCAAGTCAGTAATCTCTGTTAATTATGAAGCGCAGCCTCAGTTTTCGCATTGAGTTTAGTTATGTGCAACGCAAATAATATATGCAATATTATATATTCACGCCTATAAGAGCGTGCATGCGCAACAATATGTTTCCGAGCGCCGCAGATCGAGCGATTTTCAGCTATATACAAATAATATATATTTAACGATCCACACACGTGAGAGTGTTATCCACACGTGAAAGTGGTATCCACACGTGAAAGAGAAAGACAAATATTTCATCACGAAAATAGTCGTGTCAATTACGGATATACATCCTATACTTGAAAAATCTATCTAAATCCAGCTGGCATAGCTTTACGTAATAAGAAATGGCCTTAAGGCATGCCCTTTGCCTTGGTATACGCTTTAAACGCACAAACGAATGCTTTACTATGCTGTTATAATCAAATGTGTCCGATTGATCGATTATATTGAAGCTAACGAACATGTATCTCATATTTTCTGTCGTGATACCCAACGATCATTGATTGAATTATTATCCCGACTAAAATTGGTATGCCCCTTTGAAATATTATCTTATTATACTATCATTTATTCTTTTTCTCAGGAACATCCAACTTGCGCCCTGGACCTTACCCCTACCTACGCGGTGGTATCCTCTTGTATCTCTTTTTACGTTCCTTGCATGGTAATGATCGGAATCTATTGCAGGTGAGGATCAATGAACGATTTACACGATATGCATAGAATATATATTCAACGCGAAGAAAGCGTGATCAAAGTTCTTCCTAGTTTTAACAATAAGTAGCAAAGTAGAACGTCCGCTAACTGGTTCAATAGCAATCGTATATCACTATATCTGTTATATACGCAACGTTATATCTGCTACCATTTCGTGTAATAGCATAGATAACAGCTAACTCTCTTTTTCGTTATTAGACTCTATTGCTACGCGCAGAAACACGTGAAAAGTATTCGTGCTGTCACGAAAATACCGGATGTATCTGTAAGAAAGAGCTTCCGTACAAAGAGTCGTTACAAGCCACCAAAACCACAAATGAAGTCAAAGCCGACTAGTCCGTATCATGTATCCGATCATAAGGCAGCAATTACCGTAGGCGTTATCATGGGCGTCTTTCTTATATGCTGGGTTCCATTCTTCTGCGTTAACATTGTTGCAGCCTACTGTAAAACCTGCATATCAGTGCAAGCATTCCAAGTATGATCTTATTTTTAGACATTAAAAGATAAACACGAGAGAGAGAAAGAGAATATTTAAATTTTATTCAAAAAGATTGCATGATCTTTTTCACATAGGTGTGTGTGTGTGTGTGTGTGTATGTACTTTGATTATTTTTGAAATTATACTTATTTTTTGTCTCTTTCTTGCTCGCTTGGATTTTGCACAATTTGAAATAAAATTTGACATCAGGTACTCACGTGGCTTGGCTATAGCAACTCGGCCTTCAACCCGATCATCTACAGTATCTTCAATACAGAATTCAGAGAAGCATTTAAAAGGATCCTAACGAAGGGTGTGCGTTCTCGAGGAAATCAGCCTTCCACTAGTGAATGTGGTGAATTTCGATCTATAGTGATACAGAAACACAATGGCTCTATGATCGAGTGTAACATCAGTCCGAGATCGAGCGCAGACAGTTCTCATGTTGGGGTTATAGCTCAAGTGCATCGAGACACCTTAGCCAGTGCAATATAAAAGAAAAATATTCAATATAGCTTGCGTGAAGACACTTTGCAAAGAAGTTTTACGTTCCTATGGCCTCGTAAATACATGTATATCTATAACGAGTATTCGGTTATTTTCCAAAGAACCATCGGTGTCGAGAGGAAGCGTTTGTCATTTAAGCTCATTCGCGCAACGCGACAATCGTCGGAATTGTCTCATTGCTAATATTTATAATTACTCTAATTCAGGTGCTTTTTTTTTAACGAACTCCGTCTACGTCGGGCCTTGGAAAAAAATATTTAAAAAAGAAAAACAAAAAGAAAAACAAAAAGAAGAAATAATAAAACAATCGATATAATATATATATATATATACATATGCATGTAAATGCAATTTCTCTTGGTCGGAGTATGGATCTTGTATTACGGATGAAGAAATTTTGTTAAAAAAAGGATCTCATATCAAGTATTAGTTGCTAATCATAGTTACTGTACGTACTATATGCTTATTCTTGGGACTGTAATTATAGCGCTAGTGCTTAACTAATCCGAAAATGTATAATTAGATTAGTAGATAGAAGTTAATATGACCGAAGGAAGAAGAAGGATATCAAGTTTAAATTATATTAGATTCTCTTAGAGAGATTTAAAAATAAAATTCAGTGCGTAGAGACACCGGACTATGTACAAAACCGAAAAATAATTTAAATAAATAGTTAGTATGTTTTGTTCTTCCAGAAGATTTTGTATTCTGTGCTTTTTTGCCTACGATATCGATTTATTATTAGCGAGTATTTAATGATATTTAGATTTCATTTGAAATGATCGTTTAGCCGTCATAGGAATTCCTTCGTATGCGCAATTGTCGTGTACGTTTGCTCGCTTTAACATTTTCCTGCATGATTGTAGACTAAGGTTGGACGAGCAGAATGTCCGCCTTTTGACCGCTACCTTGATGCCCTTCGATGAATCTCAATGATTATAGATACGATACGTTGCCCTATTTTCTACATGTATAAAATCGCATAAAACGTCCAGTTATTCGCAGTGCGTAATACGGTGTAATTGTGAAAAGATCAAGTCCACGTAAATTTTCGTCCTGTCCTTTTGAGGTAAGATCTTATACAACGGATGGAAAACTCGCGAATTTTCCCTTTTATCTTTTAGCTTTTACTCTTTTTCCCTTTTTCGTAATATTGCAAATGCGTCAGGGTTAATTTCCAATCTAATCATCCAATCATTAACTTTCAAATAATCGAATCAAAAGAACTTACTTGTTTTTGCGGTGACCTATTTAAAAATACTTTTACAAAGAAACCATTGGAAGGATTTTACATTTAAGCAAATAAATTTAATAAGTGCAGATGCATCGACTTTCGTTGATCGTGTATTTACTTCTATTCGTCGTTACCGAGAGAAGCAATTGTGACGATAAAGCGGAGTGGTATTTCGGTTTACGGTCTGCCTTGAAGAACTGTCCTTCGATGCCTTGGAATAATCTCAATCAGGATGATTTTCTCGATATTTTTCGGCAATGTATACAACAACGAGCTCTCAACTTTCTGGATTCCCTTCTCATCGACGATGTCATACCAGTTATAGATGGCATCGATTTAATACGATTTCATGATAATAATTCAACGTCGTTGACAAATCAAATGGCCAAGTACGTTCTTCATTTTCCTAAATTAAACACGGACCGTTTGATTCGAAATAATATCGCGACGAAAAATATCAAAATGACTCTATTTCAGAAAGGATAACACGTATAACGAGACAGATGATACTTCTAATTGGACGGGAATAGTATTGAATCGATTGACCGGAGTTTTACGCACGCACGTTTTGAAGATCGACGTCGACCACATAGTTAACAGCATATCTTCGCCGATAAATGAGACCGAGACAGATACATCCGGTAACAATAATACCGTTCAAGGTAATAAACGATATCTTTCAAGAAAATTAACATAATCACGGTAATATTCGATTGTCTTTCGCGTCTATACATTTTTCCCCCCTACGATTTATCTATTTCCGTATCATCAGGACGGAGACGCCGCCATAAACGACGTCATCATGCAATGTCTCTCATGATGATGGGTCTATTATTGATGGGTTCGATACTCGTACCAATGGGTTTTCAGTTTCTAGCCGTTCTTGGTGGTAAAGCTTTGATTCTCGCTAAGATGGCTTTGTTATTGTCCAGTATACAAGGACTCAAGAAAATAGCAACCAATGGTGTCAATTATGGTTTGTATCATACACCTGTAGCTGAAGGTTGGCACGAAAGAAGTAATCAAGAAACGCCAACGCACTTTGATCTGCCCTATCCGATACACGCTCAGGCTCACGCTTGAAATTCAAATTTCCGATCGACGTGAATCCATTTGACGTCGTTTTATCGTTAAGTATAAATAAATAATTTTCATATGTACATTAACATCGCAAGACAATTTGTAAGTTTTTAACGGTTCTTCTTGTTTTATTTATACCGAATATCTCGTACGTCAATATTCATCATCTTTTTAGTAAATAAAATTATTATCGTAACTTTTATCTTGATAGCAGTCTCTTAGTGTACTTAGATAAGATACACACTAAGGTAATTTCCGTTGTATTCTCTATCTTTTAATATTATTGGTAATCAAATAAAACTAATGTTGTTATTGGTAGAAACTTCGGAATATTTTCGATAAAATAGAAAATATTTAATGTCGAGGTACAGTCTGATACGATTGTTCAAGTTGATTGTATACTGATCGATGTTGTATTCTAATTAAATTTCATCGATAAAAAATACATTTAAGTTTATCTCTTGTAATTTGAATTATTTATTATTTATTTAGCAATAGTTTCTTGCGAATTTCAACAACGATTGTTTCATTTCGAACGAGAATATTTCCGAATTATTTTCTCGAGTTCCGTTACTCCTGGCAAATCTGGTAAGTGATTTATAAACAAAATTAAATAAATTTGTATTATCTAACGTTAGGTTTATTTTTTGGAGAATGTAATGAAAAAGAAGAAGATTCCAAATATTGGAAAATTTTAATGACAGCATATATTACTAAGTTACATCAGCTATTGAAAATCATTTAACAATACAAAACCTTACATAAACTCAATGATATTTGCAATTAGCTTTTATGCAATAATATTACGTCCTCGTAAAGATACGCATTTCGTGATTACGTGCACTTTGTAAAACTGATTGCATTAACCATGCGTAAACCATTATCCGTTCTACGTTTCATACGCATACGCAAACATGATCCTTCTTATCCTTTCCAAACGTACGAAGAAATCTAAAATTCGTTTGCACATTCGATGTAAAACACTGATAATAAAATTACTAATTATATCCGATGTAACATATATTTATCAACACTAGAGCGAAATTCTTAACCTGGCAACATGTATATTTTAATATGTATAGGTATACACAGTAGGAAGCTTGCGCATGAAATATTATTGGTCAGTTTATTTCATATTTCTCATTCAATGTTGCATTATTTAACAACATTGGGAGAAGCGTACTACGAAACGAGCCTCTCAAGTGACAAATTTCGAAAACGAGACTAGCGAGAAGTTTTGCGATCATCTCTGTTATTTTCTACTATTCATAAAAAGTACGATGCTCCAAATTTACCCCTTCTTTTCTTTTCTTCGATAACTATAGAAACTTGTTGAATAAATTTATTATTATTAAACAGCCCGTATACGAAAGTTACATATTATAATTGATCAGACTGTATTATCACAAGTATAACATTGCTAGCAATAATCTAAACTAATAATTGTTAGTCAATACTAGACGAATTGAATGGTAGAAAAAACAAACAGAAATGATCGCAACGAAAAATACATTTTGCATAAGCCGGTCATTAATTCATTGGACGCACAAGGTATTCTACAATATCTATTTATGGTGTAATTTGTAACAAAATGTGGGATTCGCGGGTATAGTTTCGTTTTTCTCTTTAAATTTATCTTCTCGTGTCAGATTTTTGACGACGCATACAATTGATGAAAATACATTTACGAAAGACATCATGTTAGAACCACGATTTCTTATTTCTAAGTGCAAGTATGGCGCAAGAAAACGTACGATTTGTCTAAAATATTTATTAAAGGCTTCAAAACCTGATTCTTCGAATTTTCAAGCGCACCTTGCCGGAAAAATAAACCTATTTTCCGTTGTTCTTATTATTTTTCTTTTAAATATAAGGAACATAGAGTACACAAGTCTAACAATAAGAATTCGAATATCATTAATTCTATTCGGTAAATGTAATTGCATTGCGTACGAATGTTGGTTATTCGATCACTGAATAATAATAGGTACAATAGATTTTCGATCACCCGTGTCGTTCCGCGATACTTTAAACTTTATACGATTTCAATATAATATAAACAAAAAAAGACAATTTATTCTCTTCCAATTTACATAGATATATTCAATACGTTCGTATTCCAACGCGACATTGTTTTTCATTCGCACAGCTCGAAATTTAGAATTTTAGAATTTAGCATTTGGATTCGGATAATCGATGATCTATCGCATGTTATATTACGTTGCCATTTTTAATTCGGTCCTGCCTATCCTTTCTACTTTTATTAATATTTCTTTTCCTTCTGTCCCCCCCCCCTCCCCCTAGCATTAAGTTAAGTAAGAGAGATACTGCACGTTAGGACCATATATTCCTATTTTTCTCTTTCCTTCTCCCCTCTTTCGCATAATTCGAATTTCGATGAAGGATTTAAAAACAGCTGTTATCATTCGATTTGTCGTATATAAGACGAATTATTTATCATTTTAACTAATCATCTTACTACAAATGAATGCTTTACTTTTCTTTTCACGATTTCATAAAATGAAACTTAGTCGTTGAATGAAAATACTTATTATTTGCTATCTAATCGATGTGTTCCTTTTTTTTCTATACAATATTGTAATAATTAATACAAGTAATTAATTCAGCTTATATATATTAAATCTGAATTGATCTATATTTTGGGCGTTGGTCACGCAGTACATTACGCGACATCCATTTATTATTGCATTTTCTTCCTTTTTTAAACTTCTATTCCTCCGAGAACGATACTGGCATAAAACTTTCGCAAATTTCATATGTAGGATAAATAAGAATCTCGCGTACATTTTTTTCTCTCTCTCTCTCTCTCTTGTTCTCTGGTTTTTTTCTTTTTTTTCAAACGATGAAAGACTATGTTCTCCTTGCGAATATTCGAGAACGAGCGTTTTTTTCTTTTTTTTTAAATATTTGTTATCTGTATTTATTCGTTAACGCATAATAAGTACATGTGTACTTACATATCTAGCTATTCAATAATTTACAATATCACATGCACTTTTTATTTTTCTTTTATCTTTTTTTTTTCTTTTTGTGTTTTCTTTTAAATAGGATTGTCAAACACATACCTATATAGATATGTACCATCTATTCTTAAACGATGCAGCGTATCATACACACGAGGTGATTAGGTAAACATCTGCGCACATTATTTTCGTTATAAATATAAGCTTGTTCGTACTTTGTTTTTTCAAAAAAGGAACCGAAAAATTATTCCGATTAACGTGAGACAGGAAATTTCATCGTTAATGAAATTAACGATAAGACTCTTTCTTTTGTACGCACGCCTTATACTTTTATACTCTTCGGGACGAATCGATTTTTTTATCGTGACTTTTCGTTTTACGACGGTCTGCAATAATTTTTATACAGATGTTCATTTTAACGCGTTAGAACATTTCTAAATGCGTTTAATTAGTTCGTCTTTTACATACAGTATCTCCCACGAAAAAGCAGCAATAAATTCGTTAATCGCATCTAAGGCCAAAGCTATCCGGAAAGAAAAAAAAAACAAAAAAAGAAAAACTTTCATCCTCATTTTGATATCCACGAGACGGATTTATTTTCTCCACTTTTCAGTCGTCCTTAAATCGATTTATGGATTTTTGTTCTTTAACACGTTCGCTAACACTCCGTTGAAAAATGTTTACAAACCACGTTATACTTTCTCAATCATTTTATTCGACTTAAATAGATATATATTTTTTTGTTTGAAAATTACTTACGTACAAACAGAATAAATTTAAGAAGCTAGCTAAATATTTTGTTTGTAGTCTCACATATATTAAATTTCAATCGTATATTTAAGAATTTTATAATCATAAATATTTATTTATTGTTAAATGTGAGCTGGTCCGTTAACAATAATGCGATGAATGTTGAAAACGAACGTGTTAAATAGTATACATATAGTTAATCGAGAAAATATTAATTAAGTACAAGATACGCATAGAAATACGTATAACGTTAAACATGAGCATTATAGAAAGATGAGTCTCCGTGTGTGGATTATTTAGAATTATTATAAACAGCGAATAAGCTTTCGATGGGTATTATAAAAATGTAGTCAATTGTAAATATTTTAACGCTTTCGTTAATACCGACCTATGTAAAGGCCTCGTATCAACGACTGACCCATATAAAGAGTCGTACCAGGCGAAGATACTCGCATTAGAAAAGAATGCCCTAACGAAAGGGTTAATGATTAAGGAAAAAATAAAACATATATACAATCGAATGAAATTCGATAAAATATAATAGAATATTATGCAGATAGCTTTGTCTCAGCCTTAGGACGAATGTTTATAATAAAAATTCTCTATCGCTTATATACTAACTTTTTATATATCTATACTTTTTCTTTTTGTTTTCTTTTTTTTTTTTTTTTTTTTTTTTTTTTTACTACCACAGCTTTTAAACACATCATTTTCCAGTCATAAGAGGAGCATCACAAGTGAGATAACACGCGCACACGAAAGTGGACAACTTAATAAATATATATTAAATAATTAGAGAAATAATATGCGTTTTGTTAATTTCGTTCGTCTAAATAGTTAACATCGTTATATGTATATGTACTAAGAAATATCTAAAGATCAGGCTCATACTTGGACATCATTGACATATTTCGTTCGTTGATTCGATCGATCGAATGCACGAACAACGAGAATAAAATGCGCATTGAAAGATGTCATTGACAGATTTTGATTGTTTCTAATTGTAGATTTAAATTCCTTACCAAAAATAACAAACAATTCCATTTTTTTTTGTTTAAACGTGCAAATATACTTAGGCGTAAGATATTTTTTTTTTCGTTGCGCACACATTTCGGCTTCTTCGATAAACGTTCGCGATTCTTTTAATCTGCGTTTTTTCTTTTCTATTTTTATCTAAATTTTATATAACAGTCACATATTCGGAAGTTCTATTTACAAAATATTCCTACAGATATAGCGGATAACAAACATTGATCTTTTGGCTATTAATCGATGATTTCTTGTTGTATATTCTCTTGCAAGAATTACGCATCTTTTCAACTTCTTAATTCGAATCTCTCCTTATTTTTCTGTTTTCGACAGAAAAGATAGAGCTTTCGTTAACGTGGAAATCAAAATGACTTTAAGTGCAAAATAATATTCTCTTTGATACACATTATGCGATAAAGAATATAACGAGTCCGTGCATGCGTGTGTATGTATTTGTGTACGTGCAAAAGAAAATAATGCTACTCGAGCTATTAGAAATGCGCAAAAGATCTTTACAAATATCAATTGTATCAATCATTGTGTACTTCGTGTAGTAGTAGCAGTAGTAATATTAGTAGTAATAGTAGTAATAGTAGTAGTTTTATGTACGCAATTGACCATCCACGTACGGCAATGTACACAAACGTATCTTTGTACCAAACGTGTGGGAGGATCATTCTCTTATCTCTCCACATCATGCACACACGAATAAAGCAAGGATACTCGGAGTTTGAATTAAATTATCGTTAAAAAAACATAAACCCACCCGGCCCCTACCCAAAACAATAATAATAACGAAAAATAAAAAGAAGAAGAAAAGAAGGAATAATAAATAAAATATACCGGCTACTTTCGTCGAGCTTTCGTCGAGCTTTTGTCGAGCTTTTATCGAGCTTTTGTCGTAAGAACTGCATAGCTATATACAAATTGGCATTATAGATATCACAGTTACAATGTATGACGACAATCGCAGAAGGAAACTTCTCTTAAAGCATTGCCTTATTTTTTTTTTCTTCGTTTATGTCACAACTAGCACCATATAATGTGTAATGCGTATTAGATACAATATCATTCTTGCATTCTTTCTTTTTTTCTTTTTTTCTTCTCTTGTCGATCGTTATTTAATGTTACGCAATGTAATACATACACCAATTATTATTATTGTTAATATTAATGTTATGACTATTATCATTATTATTATTATTATTATTCGATCGGCTTGTCAACGTTACTTCTTATTATCGTTTACGAACTTTCGATATAGTTTCTTCCATCAAATTTGAGCTTGTATCTATTATGTAATTTTATGTATTTCTATACGTATGTACGTGTTATGTGTATGTGTATATGTATGTATGCATGTATGTATCTCCCTAAGGCTATACTTTCGTTTTCGGATATTATATTAATGTTTCTTTTTTTTCTTTTTCATTATTCTTTTCATAGGATATGCGCGTTTCTTCCCTTTAAAGAAAACCCACCCCAATTATATAGGAGAAAGAGCGATCGTTGAAAAATTACTACCTAAAATTCTAATGCACGCTGAGAAAAAAAAGATGATAATAATAATAAGAAGAAGAAGGAGGAAACGTCGATTCATTGATCTCGATTTAAACTTTCTTTAACGTCTGCTAAAATCCCAAAATAATTACCCGTTGTCTCTAATCAAAATCGCGAATAGGATTTTTGTTTAATTTCATTTTTTTCCCCGGAAAAATACGTAAATCTTAAATCGCACATTTTCGTTTATCGTAGGCACCTTATTTACATGGAGTTTTATTCTCTTTTCGATCAACAAAAGAGAAAGACTATCCTTTATCGTAATCGATCGTAATAATAGGTATATCGTATCAAAAATGAATATGCGATATTGTTTATTTAATCTTTCTCTGTCTCACTCGAGGATAGAGAAACGAAAGCCATGCCCGTGGAGGGTGCACTCTTATACATAAGCCGATAATTATGAAAATAATCGAAAAGTTATTTAAAATATTAAAAGAACATATTTTGATAGAACACGTTATTTTTCAGATCGCACGATTACACATTTAACAAAATGTTTCTCTTTTTCTCAAGAGAATTTTTTCTGCTGGTTACTATAGAAAATTAAAATTATAAAATAATTCAAACACAAATATATCTACGATTTAGGCCATTTTCATAATCACCGACTCATATTTTGCCTCGTGCATATTCTTGTCCCGTAAATACAATAAACTTTAATGCCTATTTATATGTGAAAGAGATAAATACTATATATTATATAACATTTCTTATTCTTTCTTTTTTGCTTTCCATTCGATATCATACGCATGAATATAAGTAAGTACTTAGGTCGTAAAATTGATAAGAAAAGCAATCATTGGTATAAAGTATGACAACAATGGAATCAATCGTTGTACAAATGTATAATGCAACATTATGACTCTTATAAGCACGTATATACTTTGGAGAAATGCGTGCACGTTTTATTTAATTTTTATATCGAGTAAATAATAATATAAACAAATATAATAAAACAAGAAATTTACTAGAAACAGTCAAATTTATATAGGCTTGCGCTTTTACAATTTACAGCTTCCCTATGATAACCTGAAGAAAAAAAAAGAAACACAAACACACGCTAATTATAAATAATTTAATAAAAATGTAATAATTCGCACATGTTGTACGTGCGCGTGTCGCCTATTACGATTTATGTTAGACTTAATGTTTAATCATTCACTATTTTCTAATTATTTTCAAATCAACAAAGAGGATAAATTATTTAACATTATCACGTGTGTTAATATACTAGATGTTCAACTCATGTCCTTGATTATATTGAAAAGAAGACTTGTTTCGTGGCAAGTTGTGAGGTAATGTTACACAATAGGCAATAGATTATTGTATAAACTAATGCAACACAGTCTAGTATTGTAGTATTGCAACGTTTTGTATCTGCATTAATGTCAATTGACAAGTTTACAAATAATTTGTGGACAAACAGTTGAACAGCCAATAATAATATTCATATATAAGATCATATTAAAAAAGAAAAATCAATATAAATTAATAAAAGAAATTCCCTGATAATATATATTTGAAAAACTAAAACACAACTTTCAACATTTGGAACGACCACTCAATCATACTATACACGCTACCGAAGACATATCTATCAACATTTTTTTTTGTTTCAATTGCTTTAGAAATCCTTGCAATTATATACAAATACATAAATAATGCATGCTCCCGAATGATAAGTATTTTCTTATACAGATTAAACCTTAACTGGGGATGTGGTAATTAGCTTTTACAGAAATACAATCTGATTGGCCCCAACATTTAGATATTCATAAAATTGTTAAACATAGTTGTACAAAAATAGCATTGCCGTTTGTATGATTAGCTAGAATTATGAGGCCATAGGAAATCGAAATAAAATAAATGTAAATTTTATCGACGTAACAGAAACTTCCCTTTTCGTTAATTATAATTAATTTCATTCGTGCATAAATATATGTTTGGGCAGTGAAATCCTATTGACCTCACATCCCTGGTTAAAGTCAACCATAATTAAGCGTAGCAAGTTTGCTAACAGATATATAAAGTCTTAGAAACTAGAGGTTTCACTTAACATGAGGTAAAACTAATAATAAAATATAACGTGAAAAAACAACTGCTTTCGTTAAGCATTATAATATATCAACTAAATTTATACTTTCCTAAATTCATGATGTAAAATGATATACAGTAGCGACACAAATAATAATAATAATTTAAAGCATGTGTAGGCTTCCACATTTCAACGTCATATCTGAGTGAATCTGCATTTAAAAGTGGGCGGATGTGATATTAGTAGAAAGAAGATACGACTGTATCTTTTATAGCTTTGAAAAAGAAAAAAAAAACCATTCTACATCCTAATGTTCTAGAAGATCTAAGGAATTCATTATTCTCTTATTTTTAAAAATGGAGTAAATGCAGAAAATTCCTGAATTACAAATACATATTCATTATTTTTCAAGACGTGTTAATATTCCGCGCTAAATCCTTAAAGAGAATATATTTAAACATTTCTAAACTACGTATATAATATCTTTCCAAAAATGTGCTCTTAAAAGAAGAAAAATGTACTTTATTTCTAAAATTCTTGTACTAAGTACCTCAAAAAACAAAACAAAGCATACACTTCGATAGAAATGTGTTATGTTTTGTAAGTAATTGAACTACATCTATTATCCATTAAATAATGATATATCTAAAACTGTCGTTACTATATTTCGCAAACCCTATTTTGTTAATGTATGTAATATGCATTATACTATATCAGGCAGCAGTGGTTAGGTCATTTAAATATTTTGTCCATAGCATTACCAAGTATAATGTTTTAATTAAATTATTCAAATATTCCCTTAACACCGATTAGATGCTCAAGGCAGTTTTAAGATCACACAGACCCAACGACTCGCATCAAAGAAGCCAACACAATGTGTCGCTATTGTATATTTTACTCTTCAATGTACTATAATTACTATATTACTAATTTATTAAGACATCTCTGCTTGCCAGAAATATCATCTCGTTGTTATTATGCACACTCACAAGATTATGTTACATCTATGCACACAGATATGTGTAAATGGACGATATATGAAAAGTTTAGCACGTGTACATAAATGTCATGTGATTGTGCGTTCATCAGTGAATACTCTGTACCTAATTTGCGCATTAATCTTATATGCAACCAACGTATCTTAAGTATATGTACTACACGAGTAATGCACATAGTACAATAGTTAGCATTTGAATTACATTTTAAAGACAACAGAAACGTTGCATATATCGAAATGAATCTGATTGCACCTTTACAAATATTGATCTTTTAAAGTATTGGAGAATATATAATATCACCTAAAGTTTCGAAGGAATTGTCTACTTGATACACATCTGGGTCATATATTTAAGGAAGGCCACATTGAACTAGTCTAAAATATTATTTCCTATTATCTAAATCAATATTGATAAAATGTAGCCTAGATCGTTTATCCTATGGCGCAACTGAGTAACAGTCAAATTATTAATCATTTGAGATGCTTGCATAGGAAGAATTTTGTTTGTATCGATTAAAAAATTCCATGAATTTAGAAAAGAAATACATGTTTCTACAATGACTGATAAAGAAAATCGGCATTATTTTCATTTTACTTTCTATAGTACCATCAAGTAAGCAAAGTTTACGTACAATTATGTGATGTACACTCGGACAATTAATTGTGCACATCAAAATACTCCATAAACACTCTTTATATTATAAGATATTAAGTATTGAATACACATTAAAAAACTATGGAGTTACAAACAACTTGTAAAAAGTTAATAGACTTAGCTTTCACAGATGTGAACTAATAAAAGTGGAAATATTTTCTCCCTTTAAGTTTAACACACTTAGCTCTCCAGTAGCTTTTGTATTTAGTGCCATTCTAAGTTTTAAAGAGAAGATTATTAAAAAACATTTCCTATAAGCCATTGAAAAATCTTTGTGAATACTAAATACATAAAAAGCTGTTATCAACCGATGTAGAAGTGAGAATTTTTATGAAATCTTTAATTATTATTAGAAAAATTGCTAGTACCAGCAGTTTTCTGATTTTCAATACGCTTTATCACAAGGACTGGATCAGTAGAAGTCTCAATGATTTTCTTCTCTAAATCCAAATCGCACAACAACGTTGCTTGCATTGCATTATACATACCGCTTCTTGCATACCGAGATGCCTTCGTCAATTCATGAACACTGTTGGCCAGAGTTAATATATCTGAAAGCAGAAAAAATAGATTGCATAAATATACTATTTCCCATTAGTTATCTGCAAATGATTTTCCGTTTTCATTAATACAAACTTTTAATATATTTATTACAATTTAATAGTACCAATACAAATGTAAGTTCAAGTATATCTCAAGATTTGGAAATTTGGTAATAAAAAATTACATTTTAAAAGGTTTTATTTATCTTTGATAAAAAAAAAAGTTTCATTTGTTAAAAATTGAATAGATATATACAAAATTAAAATAATATTAATCATTTTTATAAAAAAAAAATTATTTATAAAATTTATATTTTCAATAAATTATGATGTACCTAAAAATTAACATGCTATACTAAAAATTCATGATTCTTAATAATGTAAATATATCGATTTATTCATAATTCTACTTGAACATATCAGAAATACCTAAAAAAAAAAAAATGAAAATAAACCTCTTTTTTCGATAACACATGCTATGGAATTTTGTGCAGTGAGATACACAATACCTGAAAATAATCATCTTGAATATTACATCAATGATATTTTAATGATATTCACAATGATTTTCTTAATTATTTATATCTTACATTATTATATTGAAGACTTACATTAATTTTCTTTTTTTCTTTGAATATAAGGAGCATCGAGTTTATGCAAGAAATTCATATTCTTTACTGTTTTTACATATTTCAAAAAATATGTTGTTCAAATAAAAGAGAATTAATAAANGGGGATTTTATACGTAAAATAAAAATAATATTATTTTATTTTTCTCTCTCACACGAATGTATGAAAATAATATATATATATATTATTTGTGTGTTTATATATATAATACACCATATATCGTAAACATAATATCAGGAAGATCTTTGGTGACTTTCGGTTTAGGCAAATATACATATTTTGATCGCAACATGTATTACTAAAAGATACTATTAACAAACTACTACTGCTACATGGTAAGCTAATGCATTTTTTTATAAGAATCATATAAATGTTATAATACGATCATGACAAGTACAAGTATATTCTAAAGAATAAACTTTAAATAAAAATATATGTGATTTCTAAATGCAATGTTGCAGATATCTATCTCTCTCTTTTTTTTTTATATATATAAAAGTACTATATATCTACCACTAATTTATTTATACATATAAAGATATTCTCATTCAAACTATGTGAAATAAAATTTCATTTAATATCTCAGGCTATTCTTTGGATCTAATTTAAGAAAATTTGTCTACAAAAAATCTATTTCAAAGCACCCCAACTTTATCGAGATGTACAGGAGTCATGGACTCGATATAGAATGTGTGATAAGAAGCAGTTACTTAACAGGACACATATGTATCATTATCATCATCATCATTATCATCAAAAACATACTCTGAATACAGACAGGATTATAAAAAAAAATAAAATAAAAATAATTGAAATAAAAAAAAATATATGCCACTCACATAACCGTTGTGTCTGTGATCATCCGTATTATGTTTTTTGCTACACGGATCCGGGTAGCACTTGAATATTGATAGAACCATAACAATATCGAGTTACACCAATAGACACATGAGCGAGCTCCTTAGCGAAAGCAATGCTGTGCAATAATTCGTGTATTATATAACACAATATCATGGATAAAACAAATAAAAGTATATCTTACCATTATCATTATATACGAGAATGCAGTGAGGATTTTCTTTTTGACGTTTGGTAGCATTAGCGATCTCCTGCTTTCTACAGTCTTGAACAAATTTGATTGCATCTAGCCAATACTGCATTGCCTTGTGTATACGTTGATTCATTGAACTTCCACGCAAGCACTCCATCTGATAGAGAAAATGAATGCAATTATGTATTATTCATAGATAATTTAAGAAAAAGTTATCAAATATAATTATTTAATTGTGCAAGTTTTCTTCATTTTCTCTCAAAAATGTCTTTAAACTAGAGTTATTGTATATTTTTAAAATGAAATATATTTATAAAATAATTTAACGATTTTTTAATCTAGTACATGCAGCAAAAATCAATATAATTGTAGTATTTACTTTGGTTATTAACGTGATCACCCGGGCATGTTCTCGTAGATAATCAATAATTAACCGATCTACTCTTGATGGATTTCCTTGCAGTCGTGGAATTGGTATATTATTTGCGCTGGTTACTCTTTTTCCAGGAAACTGAGCAGCCAATCCAGCCTCGCATTTTTTTCTTTCTTTTTCTAATTGTTTAAATTGTTCATAAGTTTGTTCTAATCTAAGATGTAATATACTTGAGGGACCTGTACGTCTTGCTATGGTATTACTGCCTTTAAGATTGAGTCCTCCACCATATAAAACAGAATAAATAGGTGGAATAGGAAATGGAACAGGAACTGGCATCATTGGAGAAAATAATCCAGGTCTTCCAGTAGTCATGTTTGGTATTAGCGTTGAATTAAACATTATATCAGGTGGTGGAATATTAGATATATTTTGAACACTTGGCATTTGATGTTGTTTAATGACATAATTGAAAACATCTCTTCCAAGAGCAGAATCATTAATTTTATTGGTCAAGCGATTTCTTGATGTAAAAGCCACTTTATCAGATGAACCAAATGATTGCATTTTGTATGCAGGATTGACATGAGATTGCTTTAAATCCTTGTGATACGGCGTAAAGTTTTGCGACAAAGTTTTCAAGTTCTCCACGTTCTTTGTAATGTTGTGTTGATAATTATGATAATCGTATTTAACTATTGCCTCATTCTCATCTCGCGGACTTATATTTTTTGGAAAACCGATAGAGGAGTAGATTTTTGTTTCGTTAGTCTTTGGCTTAGTATTTATAATCTTTAATAAATTATTATCAGTTCTATGGTCATAGTTACTACTAATGCAAATATTCTCATTTGTGTCTAAATTATTAATAGATGGCACAGTGTATTCATTAGTACAAGGAAAACAGTCAATTGGATGCTTATGGTTTTGGTCCACAGATCGTTCTAACTGATAATTAGATGTTTGTTGATGTAATAAGCAAACTTGTTCGTTATTCATAGTAACATTTCCAGTACTTAATCTAATAGGTTCATATAAATCTTTGTACTCTGCAATATTATTGTGTTGCGTATTATTTCCAAAACAATTCTGCAGAGTTATATCGCTAGAAGTGAAATGCTGCAGCGGAGAACTTGTTCCAAAAGAAGCATTCGTGTTAAGATTTATCATTGCCGAGCTTGGTCTATAAGTTTGATTATTTCCAGTCATATTGTACACATCGTGAGTCGCAACTGTAGGATTATCGTGTAAATTCAAAGGTGCGTTTGATCTAAAGTTATTATAGTATACTGCTTCATTCATAACAGCCAAATTTGGTGATTCTGAAGCTAAATTTAAAGCATCATTAAAATTTAAATCCGAATCGATAGACGATCTAATCCGTTGATAATTTGTTAACGTATCTTGCGTAGTCACTGGAGTCATTAAAGTTTCTGGCCAACTAGAAGACTGTTTGGTATAATTTATTTCATCTGATGTCAATAAATTATTACAAACTGATGGGTTAGTTATACTACAGCAACTTTCATTGGTAGAGTGCACAGCATATTGATGAGAATTACTATTATATCCGCTTCCTATCATTCCACTAGTGTACAAATTTCCTTGATCTGCTGTTATAACAGGTTGTTCCATACATCCATTCAGACTTAACGTTCTTAACTCTTGACAAAGATTACTAGAATTTTGATCGATTATAGTTGAACTACAACTATTGTTCAGCAATTTGTTCAGCTGATAGTGATCATTACAATCAATGGCATCATTTTGGGAAATCTTTAAATTATCCTCCATTCTATCGGCATTGCAAAAATGAGGTAATGATAAAAATGGAAAACTGCTATTATAGCTACTGTTATACGTATGATCATTGATGGTAGAGTCATCGTCAAGAATTTTAGAAACTAAATCATTAACCATTGAATTGTTTAAATCTTGATTGTCTTCATCTTCCAAATTCATCTAAAAAAACAGATGACAAAGATTTTAAATCGTCGATATCTAAAATATAATGGAGAGTTCAAAAATATAGTGTGCTATTTTAATATAATTTTTGAATTAGTTTGTTATTTAAAATTATAAAAAGTCATTTCAATAATTAAAAATATAAATAATAAAATATTTAATATCTATAAATAAAAGAAGACTATCTTTAGATAATCTCTTAATTAATATTACTCAATAAATAAAATGTTTAATTTTATTTTCAAAATGATTTTCAATTTTGTGAACATAAATTATTATGAAATGATGATGAAATAACTAGACAAAAAATTAAAAAAAATAGTTATATAAAAAATTGAATTGATACAATCTGAATAACTTAAATGATATGTTTATTTAACTAGATTGTTCTAACAGAAGTAAACGGTGCATTGTTTATTGCAAATGATTTTTAAATCTGAAACAATTGCGAAACTTTATCCTACAACGAATAAGGAGAATCGTATCGATGTAACATGTAACAAAGATAAACTTTTATTAATTAGAAAAGATTTAAATGAATGTCTAATTAAAATTTAAATAGTTCATCGAGTAATACTACGATTTTGAAAAAGAAATAAATGCAATAAAAGTAGATTCTTCGAATTGTCATTCGTTATTCGTAGAGCACTAAAGTATCTCGATCGAAATGATTTGTTTCGCTGTAGTTAAGAAAAGTGTAAAAAGTCAAACTTCGCAATAGTGTCTCGATTTGTAAAGTTGAAAAAAGAATTTTTACCTTGTCAACACTGAAACGATTGTTGCTAATAATCGTAGCTACATCGTGCACCTCGGATAGAGCCATTTGTTAAAAAAACACTTTGATGATGAGCTCCTCTGCGCGTCATTACCCTTTCACTCATGCGGCTCCTGCTTGCCTATTGTATACGTTCTGAAAACACAATTTAGATTGCATTTCTATTCCCATAAAAAAGACGTTTACACATTCAGCATTGCGGGCCCGTATACATGGATTATACCCCGCGAACTACTTACTCTCACCTCTCACTTTTTATATAACGGTTTTCTTTCGTCCAATGATAACGGTTCGATCCTAGGGAATATCAGTTATTAAGCGAGAGACTAGTAAATTTCTTCAATAAAAAATTGCGCGCGAAAAAAAGATCAAGTGATATAAATAAAACAAAGAAAACGAGTACGAAAAGAATGTTTTTAGAACCAAACTTAAAATCACTTAGTTATATTAAAACTATGTACATGTATATAAGTATATACATAATGTATAAAGTAGATTGTTTAAAATTGTTATTTGTTTAGTAAAAGAAAACGTTCTATTTCACTTTTTTACATAATTATTATAAATACAGTCATTTTAATTTCATTTTTATCTTATATATATGTGTATAGATGAAGATTTTATGACATACAATGAAAATATGCTTTTTGAAGTTATGAAATATATATTTAATTTGATTAACTTTTTCCAAATAATTTAAAATTCAAATTTCATATCGATTCGGCCAAAATCGAATGAGAATCGTATGGTTGGTATTAACAGTTACGATTTACCTTATTATTTTCTTTTTAAATACTAATAGATAAATAAATATTACATGTTTAACACTATTAATATATAATTATTTTAATTTTTAACGATTACTACTATTAAAGATATAAGATATTTATTATTGTAACTTCGTTTGTTAAAAAAATAGAACTTTTTCAATGTCAGAAGTTTAAAAAAAAAAACAATCGATTTGGTTCGATAGTTATAAACTTTGTATATAATAATTTGAACAAAAAAATCTTGTTTCAAACGACTGCAATAATAATTTCTTATATATAAATGATATTAGGTAAAAGTATATACATATATATATACATTTGTATATTAATAGGAATAATATAAAGTTAATTCGTTGGCAGCATCGAAAATAAAATTGGAGTCGTTTTCTACCTACTGTTTGTAAGTTTGTGGTTGGGTGCCGGCTGCCATCTTGGACCTCGCTCGTTTGAGAAGCCGGCCGCCCGTAAAAATCTCGAGTTTGTCAAGCTCACGCGGCCTCAGGAATCCCACACGCAACTTTCTTAGTATTGCAACTAATTAGGAATCCTATTGCAGTAAAAAGAGTCAAAATTTGGACGCGGAATGCTTTAGGTGAGCCCGAAATAAGCTAACATCGGTTGTCCTACCGCGATGGCGTGTGATTTTCTTCATACATGTGTGTTCGTGTCTTATGCGTGTGCATGCCTCTACTCCATGCGCCGATAATAGAATATTTTTTACATTTCAATCATAATCCAAAAAAATAACCATCCGCACGTTTCTATTTGCCTATATATTCTTTAGTTTTATTTACTACAAATAATCTTAACAAATAGACATTTTTTAATAGAGAAACTCTAATAAGTATTTCAACCAAATATAAGGCTTATATATCTTATAATCAATAAGTATCTACATATACTTTACTTTGTTATTAGATACTGTTGCATTTCTTTTAATCAATTTTACTTTACTTCATAAAATACTTTCTTCTTCAAAAAAGATCTTTGCTTCTACTTAATTGTATATATTTTTCATCATAAGCGTAAACTTAAGATATTAATGAGAATCCTATGCTATTATTCTTATATTTATCTTATTCTTCGTTAATGCATGCTGTTAATTATATTCTATGGTTAATCAACCGATATACCATTTCTTAACACATTTTGCACATTGAATTAAACACTATCGACATACATTGGATCATTTAAAATTTTATACATAACGCATACACATCTAATATACATATTTGTATAAATAACATAAATATTAATAGAGTAATTTGACTAAGTTTTTAATAAGCTTAAGCATGTATAATTTCAGCAATAATTATTGTGCACATTAATGCATAAGTTATTTTTTGATCAAGTAGTATTTCTTCAATTTGTATACAAGTTAATAGCCAAATATTGTTACGGTTTAGATGCCTTAGAATATTTTGATACTTAGTTTTAAAGTTGGCTTCAAAAAATGCATTTTTTAATTACTTGTAATAATAATGGTCATTGTGTTCTTTTGGCACAAAGTAATGAATATATGTTTTTATAAAAAGTAATATACATTTTATACACAAATGTTCTATTTATATAATAAATAATTTAAAGCTTATAAAAATTATTTTTTATATTCATCCAAATATAAAGTTAAAATTTTTTTTGTCGTATTCATTTGTTGCCATCTTATTGCATGAATCCATAGTTCATTAAATTAGATTATATAAAATTATAATTAACTGTCTCGTAGAACGTATTATTTTCCTACAATTTGATCTAAAATTTGTAGTTTTATTTAATTATTTGTTCGCTATTTAGGTTTACTTTTGTTAGCACGTGCTTGTGGGTGGACAAGTGGAAAACTAAGATTAATTAGTAACAATAAGAATTCGGAAGTTGGTCAAGACAGCGCAACTGTCAATAAACCAAATAGAAACACACATATACTTGAGAAAATGGCATTACCAAGTAGAGCAAGAGTTTATGCAGAAGTGAATTCACACAAATCTAGAGACTATTGGGATTACGAATCATACGTTGTTGATTGGGGGTAAGTTAATAAAAAATACTTAATATTTATACTCTTCAATCAATAATGACTTATAATCGAATGTAATAAACATAAGACGAGAAGTTAACTCAATGTAACGCATTTGTATTTTCTTTTCTTTCTATAGACAGCAAGATGATTATCAGTTAGTAAGAAAACTTGGCAGAGGAAAGTATAGTGAAGTATTTGAAGCCATAAATGTAACGACCACTGAAAAATGTGTTGTTAAGATCTTGAAGGTATCATAGATAATGTGCAATATGTTTTCTAATAATATTAAAATATATTAATAATATAATATTATTAATTTTTTTAAATATTTGTTTGTCGTTATAGCCTGTAAAAAAGAAGAAAATAAAAAGGGAAATTAAAATCTTAGAAAATCTTAAAGGAGGGACCAACATAATTACACTCCAGGCAGTTGTTAAAGATCCAGTATCAAGGACGCCGGCACTGATTTTTGAACATGTCAACAACACAGATTTCAAACAGTTATACCAGACTCTAACAGACTACGACATAAGATACTACCTCTACGAATTATTAAAAGTGCGTGTATAATTAATTGCAATGGAACCAAATATCAATCCATGCAGAATCTTCGAGATTATTGTTTTGATAGATGTAGGTGTTTATGTAGGTTCAAGAAAGAGCTCGACAAATACTTATTTCATATCTATTTATTTATTATTTTTATTTTTTAAGATATGAATTATAATTACATTTAAAGAAAAACAATTGATAAATGTTTCAGTTTGTGCTTAGTTTTCAGTGCTCAAACTATGTCAAATATTTTAAATTTAGATAGATATTCAAATTAATTGTCTGATAGATAAAATGTGAATATGAGATAAAAAGTAAATTATGAAGTAGCAACTTTATTTTTTAGTTAGTTATTCTATTATAATATGTGCAAATTGTTATTTTAATTATTTTTTTGTAACATTTCAAGTGTCTCTTGTGATAGTTTGGTTAAATATAGTATGATAAATACTTTGAAAAATCTAAAAAATATAATATAAGACTACGTAATAATATTTCGGAATATTGTGATTTTACATAGGCATTGGACTACTGTCACAGCATGGGTATAATGCACAGAGATGTAAAGCCGCACAATGTTATGATAGACCATGAAAACCGAAAGTTGCGGTTAATTGATTGGGGTCTAGCAGAGTTTTATCATCCTGGGCAGGAATACAACGTTCGAGTAGCTTCACGCTATTTTAAGGGCCCAGAACTTCTTGTAGATTATCAGGTGTGTTATTTAAATATACGTGTGTTACTATAATTAATATTAAGTTTATGTCAGCTTTTTTTTTTTTATGTCATGGGTGACTAACGTGGCAGTCAACGTGTTCATTTTTCATATTATATTACACATATATGCATATATAAAATGAGAAATATTATTTTTGTTTTTAGATGTATGACTACTCCCTAGATATGTGGTCGTTGGGTTGTATGCTCGCGAGTATGATTTTTAGAAAAGAACCATTCTTTCATGGACATGACAATTACGACCAACTAGTTAGAATCGCAAAAGTTCTTGGAACTGAAGAACTATTGGAATATCTTGATAAATATCATATCGAATTAGATCCTCGTTTTAATGACATATTAGGAAGGCACTCGCGTAAGCGTTGGGAACGTTTCGTGCATTCGGAAAATCAACACTTAGTTTCACCCGAAAGTCTTGATTTTCTCGACAAGCTATTGCGTTATGACCATTTTGAAAGACTCACGGCACGTGAGGCTATGGACCATCCTTATTTTTGTAAGTAAATTAAACAAACAAAAAGAAAATATATGAAAAATATTAATACTTCATTACAAGCTAATTCGTATATTATCCGAAAATTAGCAGAATGAAATATGTATATATTGTATTTTAATTTATAGTTCCCATAATAAAAGAACAGGGTCGATTAAATATGGTATCATCATCACCTACTCCCATGGCAGGCTCATTGCCTGTAGGTGAGTAGCAACCTAGGTAAATGTCACACAAATTTCAACTATTTTTATTCATATGTTAAGAAATGAAAATCTTTTATATATCCTATCCATACCTAACATATATACCTTTTTATTTTTTAAATATATAAAATATATAATAATTTCTCTTATTGTAATTTATGATCTTGTAATATTAATAGAAATATTTCTGAATTTTCCGTAACTACTTCCAGGTGGAAAATTGTAGACACCATTCTATTTATATCATATGATAAAAACAAAATGTGTATATGAATAGTAAAAGAAATGATAGGAATACCAATATTAACAACTAAGAGGAATGTTGGAATATATAAGAATACAATATAGTTGTTACGTTTAATCTTATTTTAAGAATATTATATTAAGAGATAAAATTGTTAACTCTTTGAGAAATAATTGTAATTAAATGCGAATTCAAACTAATCACTTGTAGATTTAAGTACGACATTCCTTTAAAAAATCATGTTTTTATTAGTATTCCTATGTTAATAACAATTGTAAAGATCGATATATATATACAATTTCAAAACTTTACTACCATTTTTGCATGTATTGATACCTTGTATTAATTACTGTTTTCCATAAGATCTCTTTTTAAATTGATTTGTATATATAAATATGTGAATTATATTCATATATGCACATATATATCATGATGTATGTGTGCGTGTATTTAGTTAATTTCTCTTTTTTTTTTTGTTAATACCCATACAAATCCTGTTATATCTTTCACTGGGTTAAAATAATTCAAACATCTATAACTCGAATAAATTTGCTAATTAGAAGGTCGTTGCAGATGACCGTAGCATGACTGTGAACAGCTTACCAGTTCATGGAACAAATGGATCGGGAGGTATGGACGGAGTTACAAGTGGGGTTCTGATGCCCTTGGAAGAACTGCGTCCACTTTAATAAGTTCAGTATTTCTGAACTATACACTAACTCCCAGTCTACATCCTAATACAACACAGCAACAGCAGATATATTGTATCGTCAACTACATATTCCTCTGCACCACAATCATTCTGGTTTGTAACAACGGCTTCATCGATCCCGTCATTAAGACTGAGATATCTCACATTGCCCATTACTCTTTGAAAGATCTGTAAAAAAAAAAAAAAAAGAGAGAAAAAAAGAAACGACAACAAGAACATTTAAAAAATTATTCAATATTCACAATGTACGTAAGTAGAAGTTCGCGAAGTAAAAAAAAGGTTTACAGTACGAAAATCTAATATAAATAAGATACATGTCCAGTACAGATTGGCCCGGGCTGTATGTGATATCAAATACAAAAGAATGTATTATTTTTTTCATTCTGTAATTGCCCCATACTGTATTATATTTTTTAACGTTGCTGTTATCGCATTTGTGTCGAGTCTATGACGCATAAGGAGATGCGTGTAGATAATAATTTTATTTAAAAAAGAAAAAGGGGTGGTCACGTTAATGCTGACACACGGACGTCTTATAATGGCAGAAATATGAGACGACAACCACATACATACACATTCATACACAGTTTTTTCACACGCTCACACTTATACGCGTACCTTAGGCCATTCGGTTTAGTACTTTTAACGATGATAAAAATGTTCGTTTATATCTGATACCACAATGATAGTTGAATAAAATGTTTGTTATAGCCAAGTACTCTTTGTGCTCTGTGAATACCTGTGCATCCAGCAGTAGATGCTACCGACGCTGGTCGGCCATCACATTATTCTACAAGAATTAGGAAACCATCAATTTGGAAGTGCAATGTAAGATAAATTCGACACATAGAGATCTCTCAACAATTAATCGATTATGTACGTTTCGTCGTGGTCTTTCTCTTTTTCGTATTTGACTAAAGATGATGATTTTCTTTGGTCTCTTTTTTTTTTTTTTATTCTTGGGATATCACCAAAAGTCAAAAATAGATTTATCAGAAGATTAGAATTCCTCGTGATAACATGCATGCTATTATTTAGTTCAAGCAAATACACAGGTACTTTTACCAAAAACAACTTGGCATGAGATAGCGCCTGACAGAACTTCTTTTACATACTATCAATATACGTAATTAGATCACATCCCCCAACATGGCATTATATATGTATGTGTATACTTGTACATTTGGCGCGTCTGGTCCGTCTTTTAAAAACATAATTTTACATTATTGGTTTTTTTTTAATCATCTAGCCGACTGTCATGTAAACCGATATCACGTGATTATCCTATGAATATATGAAAGAAAAGCACACATTAAATAATTCGTCGTCAAGAAATCATGAAGAGGGGCATGCTTGTAAACAATGTACAGTAATAATGAAACACACTCCACTTGCATGCTGCTATCATTTTCGTACTATTTTTGACAGAAATTTATTAGTTCCTATATACATAATAATAATAATTGTTCATAGAAAAAAGATCAATTGAACGTTATTTGTACATTTTCATGTAAACAACCTTGACTGGTATCAAGCGGAGTGTGGTGAAATTTTTAAATCGAAAATGAAATGGAGAAATGTTCTCTCAACGTGTTGTATCTACGAAATAGCATTTTTTTTTTTTATTGTCACTGCGCCGTTTAAACCTTTTCTTCTTCATGTATGAATATTACCATACTGTACATGTTTCTATGTGCGTGCATGCTGTGTGTGTGTGCATGTATTTTACAAATTGCGCACGCACACAGCGAAATGTAGATTGACGAATGCATTAAAAATTGAAAAATACTAATTAAAAATGAGAGAACGTAAAGAATGATGAAAAAACAGTTAATTAATAATCCGTGTACGCAATGAAAGTAACCGCTAATAATGGAGATATATATATATATACATATATATATATATATATATTTCTTTTAGGATAATTTTATTGCCATTTAACGAAATTATCATTGCTCGCACATGGCAAGAGGCATTTAATTTTAGTCCTTTATAAATGGCAAAACGGCGCTATTGTATTATTTCGCCCAAATTTGATATCTCTCTCTCTCTCTCTCTCTCTCTCTCTCTCCCTCTCTCTCTCTCTCTCTCTCTCTCTCTCTCTCTCTCTCTCTCCCCCTCCCTGTTCATATACGTTAAGTTTATCATAATCTAGTTTAGTTTTATAGAAAAAATATATTAAATAATTACTATTTAAATAAGCAAATTAACTTGAGATATAATAATAAATTGTCAAGACAAAAATGACAAATAATATATTGCGCTAGCTTCTCTGTTGCATTATATTATTACTATATAAATACATGCTAATTTTGGGGATATTGGAGTATCTGGAAAAAGAACAAAGTTGCTCGATCATTTACTGTTATGTATCGGTCAGTTTTTTTCTGTATCGTTCAGACTTTTATTTTTTTTTCTACAAAAGAAATTCTCTAGAAACAAATTCATTTATCATTTTAACTGGATCCTACAATCAATTTTTGTTGTATCAAATGCCACGAAAGAAAAAACCTATATTATGATAAATATATTTTTTTTTTGGTCATGTGTAGAAGGAAATCTAATGGTTGCTGAATATTTTAATATGGTTGAGATATGACAATAAAATTTGCCAAAGTGCACAGAACCGATGTCTCTCTCTCTCTCTCTCTCTCTCTCTCTTTCTTTCTCTCTTTCTCTCTCTTTCTTATTTAATAGAATACGAGAAATTAAACATTTCGCATCTTATATCATATGTTTTAAAACAATATTTTTTACATCAGGTACACACACACATTAACAACATTGACTAACATACGATTATAGATGATTATTCTTTGTATATGCACAAAGAAAGTGTGTATACATAACACGGTAATATTACATAACATTTCTGCTTGAAAAAAATGTAACGACACTGAGATATGAGTGTTCTGTAGAATTAAATAAAAAAAAAAAAGAAAAGAAAAGGAAATACAATCTCATTTGTAACTAAACAATAAACGTGTTCATCTCTTATTTAACTTGTGATATAATCTCAATTATAAACCATCAATTTATCTTCTCGTCTAAATTAATTTAATTTGAATTATTATTTTTAAAAGAAATTAATGTGAAATAGATATTTTTTAATTATATGTATTGTTTCATAAATAAGACAAAAAATAGGAACATATATTATACTCGAATGGTAAACTTACGTTTATAATTGTTATTGTGCTTTCGTAATACGATATTTATTTATAAGATTATGAATAACGTAGCTATAGTATAGTATTCTTGAATTATTTTCAATAATTTAAACGCATTGTAAATTAAACAATTATCAATTTTCATGATAAATAAACAATCTTCAAAGTATCAGTAGACGATACATTATAAATAGATTTATTCTAAGGAATTCAACATCAATAACTGTTTTAACACTTTAGTTTGACTGGTCTCTCTAATTTCACCAGCTAGAAACATCTCATCTACCACCGTATACACCTGAAAATATAATACATCATTGATAAAACTTAAGAAAGAGAAAGAAAAAATATTCTACGAATTTACTATTATCAAAAATTATCAGAAAAATTATCAGAAAAATTACAGAATTAGCGATAGCGATAAAATCTTTTTCTTTAATTATAAAAAATTAGATATGCAGCAATTGTTACCTTGTAAAAGTTAAACACCAAATCCAATTCGCATACATTGTGAAAATATTCATTTAAGACCTCTACAAAATTGTGAATTGCTTCCAAGTAACAAAGATTATTATCATTTACGTCCACGCAAATGCAAAAATATAAACCTGCATATCGTCTATAAACAATCTTAAAATTGCGGAACTAAAACATATATTTGATTCATTTAAAGACCAATTGAAAACAAAATTAATTTATTATTATAGTAAAACACGTTACAAATGTATCATTTGTTAACTTACTTCTACAAAATTAGTATGTTTGGCATCTCTAACAGTAACTACTGCATGAACTTCTTCAATCAATTTTTGTTTCTCATCGTCATCGAAATTCATATACCATTTAGCAAGTCTAGTTTTACCAGCTCTATTTTGAATTAAAATAAAACGAATCTAGAATAAATCATTGAATATTTTTAATATAATTTATTGCTGTTTGTGACTTACCTATAAATAACATTGATAATTTACAATATAATTAAGCCACTTTGATGACCCTTATGCAATTAAAGTTATCTTCTTTTCTTTCAATTTTTTAATGATTATTACAATAAAAAAGATAATAGTAGAAAAAATCGAATTTTTAAATATCAGTTAGTTGAAGAATCAAAAGTAACATTTGTACAAATGTCATATATAAATATATGTTAAAACTAATCACAGATATAATGTATAGAATTGCTTTTTCGATGTTTAGTTATTATATTTAAATATGAACGAGAAATATGTCGAATAAGGTTATGGACATAACAAAAAATAATTTAAAAGATCTAATATCTATTCACCCCAATACTTGCCATGATTGTAGAGTATGTAATTACTTCAAAATATTTTATTTGAATAATTTAATAGGTAAATTTAATCCTATTCACTTGGAATGTTTAATTACTACCGATGACATTTGTCGAATATCCACCCTCTGTGGCTATCTTATTTCGCGGCCATAGACAATATCGATATATATCGAAAATTTAACTTATCAAACATAACAATTGTAATTTATCGAATATTCTATCGTAATCATTATCGATATCTATTTTTTATCGTGAGATCAATAAAAATTATTGTAATTTATAACCTATAATCGAATCATGTTCTTGAAAATAATACCAACAAATATTTCTCCCTATTTTCAATGTTTTATTGCAATTAGTTAAAAGAGAAATCATCTCGTTTCAGTATTGGTTATTCGCTTAAATTGTCTTAAATAGATTCTAGATTTGAATAATCAACGAAGAGATACAAAAGAAAAGAAATCTTTATTAATAGTACTTATTTTTAATGACGATACGTATTTGTATTTCTCACGTATATATATTGTTATTATTTAGAATGTTTTCTTCACATAGATGGCAGATTTGCGTAGGAAAGTTAAAACTCGAGGCGTAGTCGTTCCGCTTACTTTTGTCCTTTTTCCTTGATCATATTATGATTATCATGTAACGTCATGTTAGGATATATTAGGTTAGATTAGCTTAGAACTATACTTTCTAAGCTGTCATTGTCTTCGATATTTTTATTAATTTACATTAATATTACGTGAGCATTTATTATGAATAAGGATATATGAGACCAACAACAAAAATATGATGAAGTTTAGCATATCCTCTTTGTTAGAAAGTAAGTAGAAAAGTATCATTTGTATTGTATTAACATTGTTGCATATTGCGTTTTTAATATTTTACATTAATATTTATGAATATTGATTTTATGTTATTTTATACATATATATACATTTTGATAGCAAACTATAAATATATCATATTTTTTCAAGCAACAACAGAGATATAGGTGTAATATGTTCCATATTTTAAGTTCTAACTTTTTACTGATTAAACGTTTTCCTGTCATTTTATCAAATTCATTTATATGTATATTTATTTGCAAAATAATTTATATATGTGTATATATATATATATAAAATACATTAAAAATTCTATACGATTGTTAAAAAATGAAAATATATATTATATTTATAAACAAATATAATTTGATCTTAGGTTGTGATAAGGAAGGAAGATTTTAATTATGGATATATATGGTAAATACATTGAGCATGGATATAATAGATATAGAACATGTTGAAACCTGTGTGCATTCATCTAAACATCCGACGTCTATACATTGTAACTGTATCAGTTCAAATTCTGTATGCTACGTTACAATTACCATTGCAACTTTAGCTCTTCTAGGAGCTATAGTTTTCATATGTAGAGATTACATCAAGGTGTTACTCTTCTGGATAGAAAACCAGAATATTTGGATTATCACGGTCATATTTGTTGCACTGTTCACTGTGGTTTCTTTTCCTATCGTAATTGGATATCTCTTCCTTATTGTTGCCAGTGGTTATCTTTTTGGTATTGTGCGAGGCATAATGATGGTTGTTCTTTCCGCAAATTTGGGTATTGCTATAGCACATGTTACTTTGGGTGCTTTCTCTTCTAAACTGCCAATTGGAGCACTATTACAAAGTGATACTGCAAGAGCTATACTTAGAGTCATTTCAGGACCACAAGCTTTTAAAGTTGTTCTCTTTGCAAGATTAACGCCGATACCTTTTGGCCTACAAAATACAATCTTTGCTGTATGTATTATAGTAACGTATATATTTTTCCTATGTCGTACATATATGTAATATTTAAATATGTTTATTATATGATACAGGTTAGCAACATAACTGGAATTCGCTATCATGTAGCAAGTGCATTGGGTTTATTACCAGCCCAACTCATTAATGTTTATTTAGGTAGCAGTTTAAGATCAATGCAAGATGTACTAGAAGATAGGTCAACTGCAGCGACCGGCTATATTGTTTTCTGTTTCCAGGTAATTTACTTTTCAGAATTAATTTGGCAACTAAATTAATAGATTATACAATCTCTCTTTCTCTTCACGAAGATATAAGAGAATTAATAAATATAATAAGAATAATAATTTAGCTTTTCGTTATAGATATTAGTAGGAGTATCTCTTATGGTATATGTTGTACAAAAAGCACGCAGAGAACTACAGTTGGCCTTATTGGAAGCTGATCTTGCATCAATGACTGATACACCTCACTATTTGTTAGATATTATGCCAGATTCTAAAATGACTTTAACAAATTTCATTGCTTGATAGCTTCATTATATCCATGATCATTATTAATACTATACGATCAGTATATTTTCATGATTAAAAGGGGATATGTTAATTCTTTTCACTCAATAATCTTACTAAGAATAAGTGCACTATATAATACTTATATTAGTGTATAGAGTATAAGGAGTTAATATTTTTTCTATGAGAATGGAAGAACTATCTATATATGCGTTAACTTGTTTTTCTAACTATTTTATTATCTATTATGTTCAGAAAGCAYTTCCAAWARTWTATAWATWWRTWYWWAYATMYAWATWKATATWWWTATWATTTATTTTTCTATTTAACTTTTAAAGACTATTGCATAATATTATATTGTAATTATTTATCTATTAAATAATACTTTAAACATTATTTTTTTGAAACTCCGAGTATACATCATTGTTACGTTGGCTTAGCTCTATTAGTTCGTATTACATAGAAAAAGTCTCTACAATTTAAAACAATGTAATTCTTTATGGAAAGAAAAGAAACATATATTTTGTATATTATATGTTTATAATATATTTCCTTTAATTATTGATTATGTATTTCATACATATAAGATGATATTAACATTCTCAATAGTTCTTTAAAATTTATTACGATAATAATGTTAATGAAAATATTATTAAATAATCCAAAGAGTGTCTCATACAGCAGTTTTAAAGTATTTTTGAAGATGCATTAAATTAAACAGATTATTTGTATTTTTAGAGTAATGATACAACTTTTATCGTTAATAATATAAACGTTAAAACAGAAGTGATTCTAAAGAGATATTGCATTTTTTAAATAATATATACATATGTGTATCAATTTATTATCACAGAAACCAAGATTTATTCTAAAATATATTTGAAACAATTCTTGTGCCAAATTGTATATTATTTTCCAATATTTTGAAATATTCGTAATGTGTGAGTGTGTTGTATAATTAAATTTATAATTTATTGATGCATTTATAATATTATTTATTTATCTATGAAATATTATGTATATGAATAATTTCATATAGAAGTTGATATAACGTAAAGGATCGTATATGAAATTAATCGATGTTATTCATAAATAAATAATGTAAAAATTTTGTATTTAAGTCATATAAAGTTTAATGTGTTGAAAATATTTATTTTATTTAATTTATAACTGTATATTCGTTTTTATTAATTGCTGTTATATACACGTAATTCTCCATTTACACTGCAGATTGATACCCCTGATAATTAATATTTAACTTCATAAGTTATTATTACGGTCTACATTATCATATATTTCTTCTATTTCATCTATTCTTAATAGTCTCTGTTGAGCTGATTGAACTACTTGTAGATCTTCGTCGCTTAACTTTATACAAATTAATGGAAGTAATTCTTCCTTCGTATCAATGACACTATAATCAAGATTTTTCAATTGGTTTGTTATTTTTATCAAAAGTTGTGGATCACATTTGAACTGTAACAGAAAAAAAAATATTTTAAAAAGAAATAGTCATATTAAAGTAAACAATAACAGTTTCAAAAGTATAAGATAAATTACACAACCTTATAATATTTATTCTCATCTTCCTCTATCTCTTCAATGTCTACAGCTCCAACATTTATTGCATTTTCCATTGCTGTTTCCAATGTAGATTTTGCCTCGGTTATTATAATGCCATTATGGTCGAAAAATCCGTTTATTGCAGCTTGTAAAATCTTAGCGCTATTTAAATAATATATATTTATATATATATATTAATTTTAATAATTAAAAGAGATGCATATTTTAATCTTCGTTCAGCTATCTTACTTGATTTTTTTTAGTACGGAATTAAGATGCATTTTTGTCTCTGTTATATTATCTGTCACAATTTTTAAAACCATGATACAATTTTTTGGTCCTTGAATTTGGAGCAGAGTAGTCTGAGTCTTCTCTTTAGAACAATCTATTTTATCTAGGATATTATTTATCGTTGACATAGGCATGTTTGATTTCTTACATTGTTCTATGACACGTGCTAATTTTAGATTTATCGTTGGTTTTATACTGCCACCACCCTCTACAAATTAAATTATTAAATTAATAACATTTAACTTTTCTCTATTTCTCTCTCTCTCTCTCTCTCTCTCTCTCAATTAATAAAAAATACAATATATATTTAATCTTTCAATATGTAGCCATGACTATAAGATACAGAAATACTTGTTAAATATAATTTACTTGAAACATTGAATAATCTCTACGTTTTTTAAGGTTATCGTATATTATTTTAATAAATAAGTAAAAACAAAATAATAAAAATATATAATAAATACCAAAAACAGCATCTCTTATCTTTCTTCTTAATTGCATAAATAATATAGATCTTGCTTGATCGGTTTCTGCTTTTATATGTTTTATATTTTGCCATTTGCTATGACCTGCTGATCTTTTACTTGTTTCGAAAAATTTATAAATATTTCGATTAAAAATATAAGTACGTAAATTTCGATTCATTTTATTTAATATTGTAAGTCCATAAAAACTGTTTTTAATTGTATTTTATTGAAATAGCAACTGTCACAGACAACACTCTTGATTGCTATTTTCTCTCTCTACGATAAACCTGAACGTAGCCAAGAAAAAAGATTTGAAGGCCAGAATTTTGAATTTTCCCGCGTAAAATATATTACCTATGCTATGCTCTCATAATATCGTAAGCGATACGCACATGTATTTTGTTTACGTGTTAAAATTTATTAGATTTCTTGTAATATATTCGAATCGTACAATAAATAAACATGAAGAAATCTATTTTGTCAAATTGTGAGCGAAATTTTATAAATACAGCCATACAGGAAAAAACGGTATATTTTTTAATGATATTACAATATTTAGTATCTTTTATAACCAAATATTAGTTTTAATAAAATGTATAATTTCATAATTGTATAAATAGAAAAAGTATTACACAGATGTATTAGAATCGTTTATTACATTCTTTAGATTTATATTTGTTTAAATTATTTCAGCGATTAGATGGAAGAAATCTTTTCGAAGCACGACCTGTTGACATTTATTTTGGTTCTAATTGGGGTTCTTGTGTTGTATCCCTTGGAAAAACAAGGTATGATTTAATCTAATATTATGGTATTAATTAGTTTTACAATAGTCATAAATATATAATATTTATATTTTAATTTAACAGAGTGGTTGCACAAGTATCATGCGATATCCAACAACCTAAAGCATCTCGACCGAATGAAGGAATGATTTATATTAATGTTGAGTTGAATCCAATAGCAGCACAGCATTTAGAAAATAATCGTCAATCCGAAGCTGCTATTCTAATAAATAGACAATTAGAAAAATGTATAAAAGATTCTAGATGCATAGATTTGGAATCTTTATGCATAGTGGCTGACAAAAAAGTTATTATTGTTTCTTTTTTCCATTTTCTTATATAAATTTTATTTCTTAAGATAGCGATTTTAAAACCTTAAGATAAATCTCTTTAGCAGATTGCAAAATCTGTATAAAAATGAAGATTTAAAAAAAAAAGATTTGATAGCGGGAAAAAATGACTGAACGATACTATTAATATAAGGAATTAATTCAAATTTTTTTACACACAGGTATGGAATTTAAGACTTGATATTAACATTTTAAATCATGATGGAAATTTGATTGATTGCGCATCTATTGCTGCCCTTGCAGCACTTATGCATTTTCATAGACCAGATGTAACATCAACTGGAACCAACATTATTATTCATCCGTTTAATGAAAAGGATCCTTTACCGCTGACGTTGTTTTTCTTACCTGTTTGCGTCTCGTTTATAACATTTGAAAGGTTAGCATTGTTATTTATTATATATTTTCACACACAAACAACTGTTTAAATATTTTAATATTTATTAGTATAATTTTTGATACTGTTATTTAATGTATATAAATTTTTATTTTGTTTTTATAGTGGAGTTACTGTCATGGATCCCACTTATATGGAAGAAAGAGTCGGCGTAGCACAATTAACTCTTGGTGTAAATTCGTATACAGAACTTTGCAGTTTGCATTTTGATTATCTAACTAAAACATTAACTGTTGAAGATGTTATATCCATAGCTTCGAGCTACGCAGCAAAACATGCAACTCAATTAATACAGCAAATAAAAGATGTAGTTGCCAAAGATATCAGTTTAAGGTATAATTTATCTATTGATTAAAATAATATAGTAATTACAAAAATATTTTATTTTTTGTAGATTTAGTAAAGACAGTACTTACAGTTGTCATATCAAAGAATTTATAGTTTCGAGCAAAATAACTAGTATGTATAACGATAATATTAGTATTAAATTGAATAACTGGAAGAATTCCGAGGAATCTAAAAATGGTAGGAAAACTTATAAATAAACTAATATATACATTAATAAAATGATATAAAATAATTTCAGAGGTTCATGAAAATAATGACAATGAAGAATGCAGTCATATTGTGAAAGTAGGTGAAGGGTTTGCAGAGTTGATCCCAGATGAGGTATTTTTATTTAATAAACAATCAACAACGCGTAGTAAAAGATTTATAATAATATTTTAATAATAATGTTCAGACAAAGGTAATAGGAGATGGTGGTCATAATTCGTGGTGTGTATCTTCGGAAGAAGAAGCGAGTGATGTTGAAATTATATCTGTAGAAAAACCTTCAAATATTGAAACTTATAAAGCAGGTAAGTTAGAATGTCCTTTTTTTAGTTCAATTAAAGTGTTCATTTTATAAAATAGAAATAATATTTATTGTTATATATATTTTAGAATCAGATGATGATAGCGAAGAGGAAGTTGTAGAAATAATTGATAGTATAGATCTAGTGTAATATACATAGTAAAAATATAAGTTCTGTACAAAAAATTCAGGTATCTTACAATAATTTAACATTCTAAGATTTAATATCATTAAAAGTAATAATGTTATTATTAAACATATGGACGATAGTAAGGAATGATGAATTGTATATTATTCAAAATATAAAAGTGAGTTACAAGAAGCATAGAAAATCAGAAAGGCGTATTTACATTAAATTTTATAAATTTTGAGTTTCTTACGTTGCATATTAACTTTGCTAATAATTAAAAAATAAATAATATATATATATTGTACATATGCATAACTATTAATTACTTCTCATAAAAGATTAAATGTGTACAAAGATAGGAGAATTTATTTTTAAAAAGAAATCAAATATGCAGGTCGTGTAAGAAAAATAAAAGAGAAAACAAATACTTTTTCCAAAGACAATTTTATACATAGTATACACAACTCTTATAAAATACTTATTAACAAGTGAAAACTCACACATGTACGCTTTTCTTCTTTACTAATATTACAATAATGATTGATCGTGAATATTTCTCCTCAGCTACGTTGTATCGTTGCTTAAACCGTTCTTTTGATCCAATTTATTAGCATTAGTTTTAACTGTGAAGATGAAAATACTTAAGGCATCTTTTTCATTTACAGGGATAGTCTTAAAATGTTTCATAATTGTCTATAATGGAAAAAGAATAAATTAATTGATAATACATGATATGATTCATGATACAATTTATGATTTTGTAAATACTTACATCAGCTAATTGAGCTTTGTTTAGGCCTGGTCGAGTAGAAATTTTGTAGTGCCGTTTATAGCGCCTTAAAGTACTAACTTGTAATTGGAATAAATCCACTTCTGGAAGATCATTATCAGTTTCGCCTGAATCTTCTTCCGAGTCTTTTCTTCTACGTTGTTGCTGTTGTTTAGATCTCGCACATTGTATAACTTGTTTGTGATAATCACAAATATATATGTGACGTGCCTACATAAAAAATATAACACACTATTATACAGGTAACACCCACACACACACACACACACACTATATATATATATATATATATATATACAGAACTTTTTTTAAAATTATTTTTACTACTACTTTTATCACAATTGGTATTTATATAATACATACCATAATAATAAAAAAATGCTTTGTTCAATTGTAATATTGTAAATCGTATATGTAATATACAGAGTGATTTAAATGAAGTGTTACAAACTGTTGATAAAACATTTTGTAACGTTTTATTTGAATTATCCTATATATAAATTAGAACTGAGTTTATCACATGACTTTAGTATAGATAATTTAAAAATTCTAGCGGTAAATAAAGGTTTGTTCGCATCTCATGTATTTTCTTTTTCATAGTGTTTTGATTAAAAGCACATGGACAAAAAGTGCAACGCATTTATTTATTTTCTTTGTTTGAGGGTGCAAAAAAATGTGATTAAGAAAATAATTCAAACTTAATACATCAAGCTGATTAGATATTATTGTTCCTTAAAATCGGACGATTCTGCCAGAGAGATATGTAAAGCATGAAGATCAATTCTAGTAATAAAAAGTGTAATAAGAAATTCTACATAAATGTGAAATATATCTGTAATATAATTTAAATGATATTTAAAGTATTTTGTTACTTTTTAAAGATCTTTATGCCGAGCATGTGACATTCCTCTCTGTAATTAAATTCAGAAAGTGCATGCGACTCGGACAAACCTTGTGATTTCTGAGCAAAAAGTACCATTTGATCCAAATTAAGTTTGAGGCGTCGTTGGGTTACAGTCTTTTGTATTCTTTTGCTGTAAGAAGCATTGCCAGCTGGACGAGAACATCGTTCACCTTCATCAACGAGACAACAAATTTGATCCGTTGCACCCCTAGAATCTTCTTCGCCTGTGCTAAATCCGTTCATATTTGATTTTCGATACGATTACGTTATGCATAAGATTAATTTTACGATATTATCTTCTTGTATATAATGGAATATGATCAATAAGGCGCTAACGAAGAAAAAGACACATAATTGTGATTCTTTCTTTCGTTTATAAAAAACATTCTTCTTTATTCCAAATGAATTCTGTTTAAGTTTAATCTTAAAACAAATCACACGTGTGCAAGCCAAACCGTAAATCAATAATTTACAATTTGCCTTCTACGTAGAGATAATTTTTTGTATCGTATTGTTACGAGTTTAATTGCCGATTGATTTAAAACAATATTGTCTAGATTTTTACACACTCTCCTCAATCGAGTTAAAAATTTCACGAACTTTGCACGAACTAAAAAATTAAAACGATCTATGTTAATATCGAATTACAATTTCATTTGTAATTGACTGATGTTACGAGACAACCACTTTGACTGCTCTTCGTAACAGAATGTTCGATTATACGTGACAACAAATTTTCTTTCTTCCTTGGCATTAAGTCTAGATATACTTAAAGAGAAGATAGAAAGTGTAATAATTTTTGAAACAACTTAGGAATTTGTCCACCATACTGGACAAGAAATCATAGGGTTATTTATGTATATTATATTTGTAACAAGCGCTAGAAATAAATTTGTTCACTAGATTGGCCAACCTTCCCCATGAAGTCAGTTGCTCACTTCAAAAGGAATCCGACAAAAGATGGACTCCTGAAGAATTTTTATATGCATCGGTTGTTCGACTTCGGATTTTCCTAATTAAATTTTATTCTAACCGTTAAGAAATTATACGTTTTTATGATCAAGTTCGAAGTGTAAACGATGATTGTGCAGGAGCCAGTGCAGGTAAACACAGCAGATATCCCTGGAGAACTATAGATGACGTATAATTTGTAGACGGGGTATATATTCACACTTATTGATATTGACGTCTCGAAATTAAGGCCATTCTATTGCGAATTTACATTGATAGAGAAATGCTGATTTCTGCGAATTATGAAGTAATTTCTAAACATTATTTTTTTCTTCCTTTCTTTCTTTCCTTCTTTTTTATTTATGATCAACTTAACAACGAACTTAAGCACTTTTAACATTTATCATCTTATATTGTGTTGCTTAGTGAACATAAATTTTTACTCTAATTATGTTCATTTAAGTTATGAATGACGAAAAATAGTTACTGCAATTCGTTACGCGCTCTTGAGAATTTTTTCTTGTTAAAATACATTATACCAAGGCAAACCGTTGAGCGATCAATTAAATATTTTTTTTACGCACGTTAATTGAGGAGTGTTTATGATTGTGTTTATATATTACTACTGTCTAATAATAAGTATAATTTGATAACACTCATTAATTTTTTTTTTATTGTTATTGTATTACAGGCAGCCATATGGCACTGTTTAAATCATTATGCTTATCCAGATGCAATATTTTTGGCAGAAAGATTATGCGCGGAAGGTATTACATACATGTGTACATGATGTTTTAATATCTAAAATTGACTTTCTATCCAGGTGATATATGATTAATGTTCTTTTTCACAGTGGATACAGAAGAAACATTATTTCTTTTGGCAACTTGTTATTATCGTTCAGGAAGGATTAGGCAGGCTCATGCTTTACTCTCCAAAAAAGCACCTAGTTCCGCACAATGTAGGTTTCTTTTGGCTAAGTGTTGTTACGATTTGGAAAAGTAAGTAAAAAGATATACAATTGTAAGATTTTGTTTCTACCAATCTTTAGGTATTAATATTAATTCGATATTTTTAGGTTTGCGGAAGCGGAAGCGGCAATAATTGGTGGATATTATAAGCAGTTAAAAAGTTTAGAGGAGATTACTGCTCAGTTTGGTGAACAAGCATGTTTTTCACTTCAGATAATAGCAAAAATTTATTATAAAATGATGCGCACCGCTAAAGGCAATGAAGCACACAAATTGGCTTTGAAAATGAATCCATTTTTGTGGCATTCTTTCGAAGAATTATGCAATGTAGGAGAAAAAGTGGATCCAGCAAAAATCTTCAATCTGGATAAATTAGATAATTTTGCTATGTGTCATGGTGTAACACCAATTTTAAGTTATATTCCGGAACCTGATTTTATTGTACCTGTTAACAATTCAAATACCGCTCCTACATCTAATGGCACTAACAGGTAAATATATGACATTATTTTTCGTTTTATTTTATTTGTATTATTGTGGTAATAATGAATTACAGTACTCCTGTGCAAACTACAACCACAACGATCATAACCAACGTAGCACCTAACGTACGGTTGTACTCGTCCATCGAAGAAAACCCACAAAATATACCTACACACTATATTCATCCTTCTTCAATATCACCTCGTGCTAAGCATCCTCGATATCGGAGTATGTTCAATAATTCTATGAGTCCTCTTACACCTAATTTTGGTATCTTACCATTGGAAAGTAACACACCAGAACCTACCGTTTTACCTTCTCATACGACTCTTACAGAAGCAAATGACCAAAAAAGTTTGGCAAAGTGCGTTAGCAGTTTCAGGGCTCATGTAGGGGTAAGAGATGATATGTAATTGTAGATTTTCTTCAAATTGTACACTCAAATGAACTTTATATATTTTTTAGCAATTTATTTCAAGGAAGGAAACACCTTTGCAACAAGGTAAACCAGTGTTCTCTCAATCCGGTAATGCAAGTAATACTGCTAATATAGTCACAGTAACACCAAGTACTCCTACACCTACACCACCTACTCTTCAGGGTACAAACGTTAGACGATCATCGAGATTATTTAGTCACAGCTATTCGGTTAAAGTATGTATCGTTCGAATTATATGCATTGCTTATTTTAATAATGTGTGATTTCATTATTAGTAATATTTAATGTATCTTCATCATAGGAAAATAACAAGTCACCTAATAGAAATAAATTTGCAACACCTAAGTCACCATCTAGGAAAGCAAAAGCAAGACTTTCCAAAACTAATTTAAATAAAACTAATTTTAATGATTTAAATGAGAGAAATCGGAATGAAAAAGAGAAGAATGAAACGATTACATCAGAAAAGGCTGTGGCAAATGTAAATGCATTGAATAACCAAAGTAGCATTGCTCATTGCGCTGTGACATTACAAAAACAGTGTGCTGGTAAATTAAAAATACTTAAAATATTTTATTTTGAGAATAAAGAAAGAGTGAAAGGGATTTATATATATATATATATGTGAATATGTATTTAATTATTTACAGAAGGTTTAATGTCTTTGTTAAAAGAACTTGGCATGGCATATCAACATTTAAGCCAGTATAATTGTGCACAGGCTATTGAAATCCTTAGTGTTCTTCCAACACAACATTATAATACTGGATGGGTACTATCTATGCTAGCACGTGCTCATTTTGAAATGATGGATTACAAGAAATCAGCTGGGTAAGTGATACTATATCATTTATTATTACACAATAGAAATATCATATCAAAAAGTTCTAAGTTTAATTTTGTTTTAAATTCACAGTTATTTTGCCGAAGTCAGACAATTAGAACCACAGAGGACTGAATTAATGGAAATATATAGTACAGTGCTTTGGCATATGCATGCAGAAGTACAACTATCTACTTTGGCTCAAGAACTTGTTTCCGAAGATCGTAATTCGCCAGCTGCATGGTGTGCTACTGGTAATCTTTTCTCTGCTCAAACTGAACACGAAACAGCAATCAAGTTCTTTCAAAGAGCTATACAGGTATACAATTGAATTATTGCCATGGGAAGTCATACTCCATAATAATCAATTTATTACGAAATATAATACCTTTTTTACGATATTTTGTAGGTAGATCCTAATTTTCCGTATGCATATACACTCCTTGGTCATGAATATGTTATGACCGAGGAATTGGATAAGGCAATTACAGCATTTCGTAATGCAATTAGACTTGATTCTAGACACTATAATGCCTGGTAAATTATTCTATATATGTTATATTTTATAATTTCATACTTTCGTAAAATAATATATTTTCAATATTAATTTGTATTTAAGGTTTGGGTTGGGAACAATATTTTCTAAACAAGAACAATATAGCTTGGCAGAATTACATTTTAAACGAGCTTTGCAAATAAATCCACAGAATTCGGCAATTATGTGCCATATAGGCGTTGTACAACATGCTCTCAAAAAAACTGATCAGGCTTTAAGAACATTAAATACAGCTATTACCAATGATCCCAATAACACTCTTTGCAAATTCCATCGTGCAACGATTAATTTTTCAATTGGTCGGCACGCGGAAGCATTGAGAGAATTCGAAGAATTAAAGAATATCGTGCCCAAAGAATCTCTAGTCTATTATTCGATAGGAAAGGTAAAACATATTATTTATATCTTATTCCATATCTCTTTTACTTTATTATTGTTTTCATCGTAGGTGCACAAGAAACTAGGAAATACTCATCTTGCACTAATGTACTTTAGTTGGGCTACAGATTTAGATCCAAAAGGTGTAAATAGTCAAATAAAAGAAGCTATATTAAGTCCTGGTCAAGGCGACGAAGATTCTCCAGGAACACAATCAGGCAAGTTATCGATCTTAATCATTTGCTTCTTTTCATTTCGTTATTAACAAAACATAATCAATTATATTTTTTTCTTCGTTATTCATAGCAGAGGAACAACAAATTCAAAATAATAGTTCTATGGAACATGAAAGTGATACGAATAGAGAAGGAAACGGGGCGATCGTCGATGGAAATGTACCTCCTGCTGAAGCACCTGCTGATGACAGTGATGATAGTTTATGAAGATGTCGTGTAATGTGGAATGGATTTGTAGAACGAAACTTGGTTTCGCGTTGTTATATATTACCTTCATATTGATTTAATCGAAAGTTTTCCAATTGATTTAGCTTGTTCTGAATCGATGCTTATTGAACTATTATCACATCAATTTGATTTACATAGGATCTGAAACAATCGAGAACTGACTTTTACCATTTTTGTTACCAGCTTTGTAGTATTTTAATCCGTTTCTCAACCTCGTGTTATGAGAATCTATAATGTATTTTTTCTCCCTCTTCTCCCTCTTTCTCTTCTTTTATTTTTCCTTAATAATGAACTAGAACTCCTGTCACGTTCTTTCGTTTATGATGTCAGATACGAGGAATATGAGAAAAGCAAGAATTTATATGAGACAATTAATGATTGACTTAATCTTTTTCATCGACTTGTATATTACGCGTTTGTCTGTATATTTTTTACTATATCGCGGTTCTTTTTTATATTTGTTCGAACGTTAGATCATTTTCCTTGCGAATCAATCATTATGTAGAGACTGTACTGCGTTATAAAACCTAAGCGAATATAGTCGTAAGCATGTCGTACATAGTTAAGTAATATAATTAACTAATTGCGTTAGGAAGTAAGAAAAGTCTTGTGTAAATTATTATTATTATTATTATTATTATTATTATTATTATTATTATTATTATTATTATTATGGTATATATACATATACCACCCTCTATTATTTTATTATAATTATATTATTATTATTATCTATATATATATATATAAAATGATTATCGGTGATTTAAGAATCGTGAAATCATATTCGGCTAATAAAAAAGTAGCCGTCGGACGAGCGTGCAATCTCGTGGCGAGGTAAAACTGCGTCGATCAATCGATCTTTTTCCCAAATTATATTGTCGAAAACAATTTGGATTGCGTATGATTATATCAGAAAGTCGATAGAATTGTTGTGTATATTTATGGCGATTCAATTATACACTTATTTGCAATCCACACAATTGTGAAGGGTGGGGGGGCATTTAATCATACGGGACGAGATCATGTTTCGCATAAGTAAAACATATATCGATATGTTGTCTTTGAAATATACGACATTCACATTCACATCCACATACACGCATGCACGCATACAAATAACACAACCATATACAAAAAAATGTTTGTCAAGCATAAATGCATTAATTTGTTTTAAAACGGCAAATAATTGTATGTGTTTGTTGCCTTTACGAGATCCAATTTGAAACAGCTTTTCTAAAGTTACCGTCATTGTACTATGATAGATTTTTCTTTTTTTTTTTATTTTTATTTTTCAACGCGAACCGTGAAACTTGTTTAATGCTAACTTTTACCTAGGAGTAAATATATTTGAGATAGTTTTCTCTTGGCGTTAAAGAATTAATGACAAAAAAATCTTACATAAACTGCGTATACATTGGTATTATTAAAATTCCTGTTTAAAAAACACCGAGTTTCTCGCGCTGAAGACGTGAATATGTAGTTTGACCGCGTGAAAAGCGATTCTATCTGTACACACGTATATAATATTGAAATTATATGAAACGTTACGTTGGGAGGATAATTATTATGTACTGTGTACACCATGTGACATAGTTGTGCACGTGGACGTAGCATTTTATATTGTACACACATGGGTGAAATGCACGTAACGAAAAATAGATAAATTATCGATTCATATAAGCGTACGTGTATATATAATACAATCATCACGTGTATCTTTCTCTTCCTATTATTTATCCCACCGAAAAACGAAGTTCGTCCACTTTTCTTATTTATTTATTTCTCGTTTTCTTCTATTTTGTATAAATCCTTCGTCAATTAGGAAATTGCCATACAAATGCAAGAGAAATCTTAGGATTTCTTAGCGATTATTACTTTATAATGAAAATATTGCATAAAAATATAAATAAAGAAGAGGATAATATATTTGTTTATGTTGTCTATTTTAAAGTACAAAATTTAAATGCTTATCGTTCATCTTATCTACTAATTTACTTTCGTATCGTTAAAGATTCAACAATAATAATAATAATAATAATAATAATAATAATAATAGTAAGTAAACTTTACGTAAGAGATTGATAAGCATTCCAGTATTAGAACAGTTGGAATAAAGGAAAGAGATTGTTCTTACGTTTACATTTAAGAGGAAAATACCGACTGCTTGATACGTACTCAATATTTTTTCATATATCGTTTCGTTTCTATAGCATATCATCACTGATCTATTTTATGCAAAGATCAGTATGGCCGACACTGTACAAACCGGTGAGTAGATTTGTTAACTTGAAATGTTTTGCAATATCGTTACAATAAAATTCGTTTAGTACTTGGAAAAGTTAACGTTACCGAACTCGGACGAGTTTTAACACACGAACATGTTGCCGTGGATTTTGCCGATTTTTATACGCCACCACCGTCTACGTTAAAACCTTTTCTAAATAAACCAATGAAGCTTCATAATATGGGATGGGTGAGACAATATCCGTGAGTTAAAGTGTTAAATTGTTCGACATAATTATATTTATAATTGTTGTATATGCTCTTATATATAATTATCAAATATTGTCTTATTTACTTATCAGATATAGTCACATGAATAATATCAAATTCAATGATACCGAAAGTGCTTATGCTGTGTTAGAAGATTTAAAATTATTTCATCAATTTGGCGGTAATACTATTGTAGAGAATAGTAGTCATGGTTTGAAACGCAGTATAGGATTGATGAAAACGCTTATGGAAAAAACTGATGTTAATATCATAGCTGGCACAGGTATCTTTTTAGTCATCTTGATTTTACATACGACATAACGCTTTTCTATCGGCTTATTAACGTTTCCACATTTAAGGATTCTATGTCGCTAAAACACAGGATCAGGCTACTTTGAATTTATCCGTTGAAGATCTGCACAACATTATAATGGCAGAAATGCTTGAAGGTTGCCAAATATTTCCCGATACCAAAGCGGGATTTATTGGAGAAGTTGGAACTTCTTCGCCGATCGAAGGCATGTTAAAATTCATATTCATTTATTATTTACAAATACATATAGTATTGGTAAATACAATGAAATTAATATAGATTTTGAGAAACGCTCGATAAAAGCTACTGCATTAGTTCAATCAGAGTTAGGATGTCCCGTTAGTTTCCATCCGGGAAGAGATTCAAGTATACCCATCGAAATAATGAGAATTTACCAGGAAGCGGGCGGAGATTCGAAAAAGGCTGTGATGTCCCATCTTGATCGTATGTATGATCAACTTTTTTTTTACAATGCAAATCTTGTCCGTTTCTTTTTTCAAATTTATATTATCGTCCACGGCAAACCTTTAGGTACTTTCACCAATAAAGAAGCTTTGTTGGAATTTTCGGACGATACAAATTGTTATTGTCAATTTGATTTATTTGGTACCGAATGTTCTTTCTATCAATTAAATCCATCAGTCGACATGATATCCGACGCACAACGCGTTAATTACGTTCAACTTCTACGAGAGGAAGGGAAGATAAGGAGAGTACTTTTGAGCCATGACATTCACACTAAACATCGTTTGGTACGTTTCATTTGTAGAGTTAGCCTCATTTTATTTTTTATTTTATAATATCTCTTTCTGTTAAGTCGTTTTTTTTAATCTAGCTTAATTATGGAGGTCATGGTTATTCTCATCTGTTTAATAACGTGCTGCCGAAATTTCGAATAAGGGGATTTTCCGAAGAGGAAATAGATACATTAACTATTATCAATCCAAAAGATTGGCTTTCTTTTTAGATTCTTTGTTGTTTAAATATAAATATACTACGCTCGTTAACTTCATATTTTATTCGATTGATCAACATTTAATAACAATATAATTTAATAAATTAAGATTACCTGAATTGTGTTATCTTTATTACATAAATATATCGTATCCCACATAATGTAACGATATACAGAATTTCGTTATTCCGCTTTTCTAAACGGATTTCGCACCAAGCTTGCGATTATTCAATTATTTTCATTTTTTAATTGTACATTTATTTATATTATTTTACTCGAAGCAAGATAAATAGGTTTTTATTGTTACAAAAGGTTTCATTAGTCAGTGATACGATATGTAAATTCGAACTTTGGGCGAGATCAGCTGTTTACAATGAGTAACGACGAGAGAAGAACGATATAAACTGCAAGAGTAGGGATTTGATGTGATCCTCGGAGGTCGAAAAGTTCACTCTTCACAGTTTATCGCTTCTACTATTTAAGTTCAGACACTACGTATTCAAAGAATTTTTCTTAACGTATTATTCCAACTGTAATACTATTTCGAGGCTGGCATTGTGTTTGTATTTTTTCGTACGAAGGAAGAAATATGGATAGGAAGAAACTTAGAAGAGATTCCGACGTAGTACTCTCAAATCATGAACGTAAAGAGCTTCTCTTTAAGTTTCTTGTTATCGGTGATTATGGCGTCGGTGAGTGATTATTTTTTCCGTTACGATTTTTTCCTTTTTTATTACTTACGTATTCGAATTTATTTTGATAAGGTGTTATTCGGAAACTTGGTAGAGATAAGTAATTCAGTCAGATTTGACGTTATATTTATTTTTCGCGTTTACGAATTCCACGTTTTCTCCGGTTACTTTCTCACATTACTTATTTTATTTCAGGCAAGACGGCTCTCGTACGAAGATATACAGAAGGTAATCCAAAAGTTTCTTTGAATGTCATTATGTTTCGAGGTATTTAGAACACGAGATTAGAATAATCTGATGATACGCGCAAGCTGGCTTATCCATTCTAAAGAAAACTACACGTCATCGTACAACTGCACGTCGCACCTGCAAAGCAGGCCTCTTTATCAACTTCTACTGCACAACTATACTGTTTTCTTTTTCCAGGAAAGTTTTCTTCCAATTATAAGATAACGATAGGAGCTGATTTCGTGATAAAAATGCTCGACTGGGATTCAAATCTTAAAATAGGTTTACAGTTATGGTATTTATCGTTTCTATTATAATCTCTTATTATATAAGTAAACGCCCAGCATTTATTATTACTTTCAGGGATATCGCCGGTCACGAGAGATTCGGATTCATGACCAGGATTTACTACAAATATGCGTAGGTTTTCGATCTCGTGTAAAAAACATTTGTATTTAATTTATAAAACAGTCCTATCGTTCATTTTTTATTAGCGTCGCCGCAGCACTGGTCTTTGATATTTCACGAATGGCGACTTTTAAATCGATGAAGAAATGGCTATGCGATCTTCGAGAAAAAATCACGCTTCCGGACGGATCAAACATACCCGTTGTTCTTTTGGCGAACAAATGCGACATCCAATTTGCTGCCGTAACAACCGAACAGATTGCTACATTTTGCAAAGAGAACAATATCACCGCTTGGTACTTTACCTCGGCAAAAGAGAATACGAACGTTGGTGAGTATCACCGAAATACGCGTGACAATTTTATATATCGTACGACGATGATTTCTTTTTATTTTTAAGACGAAGCGATGCGCTACTTGGTGGAAAAAGTGCTGAAAGCGAAAATCGAAGGTGGCGTACAGGATTCCATAAGGCTTCGCAAAGAACCTAAACAGCGAAGCAAGACAGGCTGTTGCAGGAATTAATCATTGTGCTCTTAAATTGATCTTTTTCTTCATGCTTCGCACTTGAGAGAGAGTTTTATCATCTAATTTAATTATCTTCTATATTTTTTTTATAAACATATACGACATATATGTTACTCAAGTTCTTACGATACGATAATATATTTACAAATTGAATTTTATAATTTTTATATCTCTAAATAATTTTCGACTAGCTCTTTTATTATCATTAAATTATTATCGCCACAATCTATCAATACGTATGAACGTAATTGCGTATTTACATATTTCTTAATCTTTACGCGGTTTTACTTTGGTAATTCAATGGTATTGCGCAATGAAATCGCGCATCGTCAAACTAACTCGTTTGTATAGTGTCGATGCTATAAATACGCGTAATCGATTTCGATTGAATAGTCCTTCGGGACGATTTGTCCTTTTCAGTCGACGAACAATTTATATTAGTTTTTGTCTTTTAGGATTGCATTAGACACACAACCACACTTGTATAAAACTTGTCTTCAACAGCTTTCTGTTTCCTTTGTCTTTTGATTAGGATCTTGATCTCTTTCAGAGATCCTTTTGGTTTCTTTAATCGACCATTCTACAGAGCTTCTTCCAACTGGTTATTTTTGACAGGACTCATGGCAATAGAAACGGTCGATACCATAGTCTTCGAGTAATCTATGAAAACGAAAAAAAAAGAAATTAATTACGATTCGTATTTGCATGTTGTTTAGTTTGTGTTTACAGTTGTTGCAATAGATGATTAAACAGATGCAAGCAAATATTTTAGGCAGAAATGAACAAAAATTAAATAGTATGAAAACATTTAGAAGCATTTGAAAACAATCGTTAACGTTTCGGCATCTCTATGCATTTCTTATTGAAATTGGGATCCAGTCAAAGAACCTTCGTATAAAATGATACGCGTTAACTGTAAAAAAAAGTATGACTGCATGTGAGAGTATGCCGACAAAGTATTAAAATAAGGTTGCAATTCTGTTGACCAACACCTCTATAAAAATCGATTAAAATAACTTTACGACAAATGCAGGAAAAATCTTTGTTTTTCTCTTAGAAATAACGAAGCCTATTCGCGTCTTTTCGATGAGTCAAAATAAAAATTGCGACGAACGTATGTCAAATGTTATTATAATTGTACGTGTACGAATTGTTGGTTAATCTTATCGCGAATAATCGTATATAAAACGTGACAATACACACGTATGACGAAGTAATTCTTATTATTGTATCCAATTAAAAAAGAGGTACGCTATTAGGTATTGATCTTATAAAAAGAAGAAAAGAAAAAAAAACATAATAGCATCGAGTTATAGCGGTACATAGTAATCGAAGCTAGTTGACTGTATGTTCCAATTATACGAAGCGTCTACTTGTCGCGCTATACCTTCGGAATATATATCGAGACACATATATTCAATGACGTATACATATACATTATTGAGAGAGAAGTTCAAACTATCGCGGAGAAAAAAAATACAATTGACTTATGAGACGCGAAGTTGCTAGGTGTAACATGCCTGCACATACCAAAGACAATCTTAGAAAGCAGCGAACTTGTGCCCTTGACTTACGAAGTGAGCGAGTGGTCGCTTAGCTCGTGTTCGGTCAGAGCTTGGAGAGCGTTACCACGCGACGGTGCTCGAAGTTACCTTGGCCGAAGTCTTGCTGGTGCTGACCGGGCGCACTGCTCCCGAAAGGTGTTAGACTCGCCCTTATCCTCGAACACCCAATCACCCCAGCGTATGCTTGTCTGTATTGCTTATTCATGATAACGTAGATTATCGGATTCACGCAGGAAGCGAAGTATAGAAGAAGATACCCAAGAACGTGGAAACCTGTTAATTTACATTAGTTTTATCAACGTCCAAATAAAAACGATCATATACGAATGAATATAGAGATTATCATTTTTGCATATATGCGAAATCTTTTCGTTTGTTTTTTTTTACCTGGATATTTAACATTAACGTCGACCATCTTTACGATAGTGATTGGTAGATAACAGACTAGAAAACTGAGAAAGATAGCGAGTACCATCTTCGTGATTCTCCATTCGCTACGTCTCTGTTTGATCTCTCTGGTATCTCTACCAGGTGTGTGTGGTGATTTTATTGTCGGCGTTGCATGTTTTCGCATCCTCGATTCGGAACTGTAGAAAAAAATCAATGAAAGGATTATTGTAGGAACGGAATAATCATTTTTATTTGGAATGAAATAGGAGAAACTTACCTGTGAACGACCCAGAATATTTTCGCGTAACAACCGACGATAACTACGCACGGTATCACAAAACCCGTAGCGAACAGGAACCTCTTTGAAGTATGGCCTTGATCATCTTTCACTATCGAACATGTTTCTAGATACATATCGTAATCAAACTTTCCTAGAAAAAAAAAAAGATACAAATTTTGAAACATAGAATCCTTGGTAACGTTAATCGAATTTCAAGAATCGTATTATAATCTTACCCCAAATGCCTAACAACGTTGGTACTTGCATCACGTAGGCGAACAGCCAGCAAAAGATGATCATCGCAGCGATCCAATGTTTTTTATAAATCTTACTATATATTCCGTGATGAGCTATCATGATATATCTGAAGGATACGTTAGGTTATATTATAATTAAAACCCTACAAGTTTTTCATTCCATTCTAATTAAGAGTTTACGACATATATTATAATGAGGAAATACAAAATCAAAATACCTGTTAATGGTGATAGCTGCTACGGATAAAAGACTGACTCCAACATTTCCATATCTCAAGAACGGTACGAGGACGCATAAGGATCGAATGTCCGCCCAACTTGCATCGACAAATCTGATAGAATCGAAGGGTAACACCAACGAACAAAACACAAAATCTGCCAAGCAAAGGCTACGAAAAGTAAATGAAATGCACTCGATTATTCAGTTGTAACATTTGCGTTTACTAGCATAAACGAATCTTAAATTTGTCGTACCTTATTATGAAGGCTGCTGCGACGTTACGAACTTTAGGATATTTGCAAAGGGCCACGATGGTAAGAAGATTACCGGCTAGACCCGTGATCATAATGAGTATAGCTACGATCGCGGCAAATGTTCTTAAAGGCCTTGGAAATCTACAGTCAAAATTGTTGACAACAAATATAAGTAATGAGAAAAGTTAAATGAATATCGTTTGTCGTTACATTTCTATTCGTCTCACCTTGAAAGCTCGCCGTCTATGATACTACCATGAGTTGTATTGTTCGTCACGTGCGGCGGCCACGTGGACATCGAATTCGTGTCAAAGCCGCGAAGATTTTGATTTAATGATTCCATGTTTATTCGATCAGAGTCAAAGCGTTATTTTTCATTAATCCTGCGACATTCCAACAACAAATAATATCTCAATTATAACTTACTATTTAAAATATATCGAGAAGAGAGAAAAAAAAAGAGAGAGACGCAAAGAGAACTTTTTTTTATTTCCTACTCGTAGAAGTATGTTTAGTCGAGACAAGATTAAAAGAGATGTGCGATGATGGATAAAGTCAGGAACTCATTAATCATAGAACTCGAGCCGTAGCAAGAGATCGTTATTATTTATGGGGTTACCCGAAAAGAAACGTTTACGAGAACGGAAGCAAGTTTAAGTTCTGAAGCTTAAAAAGGATAATACGCATAATAAGCTTGGGAAATATATTATTTTTCTTTGATCTATCCGAGTCGTAAAGCCAAATTGAAAATATTTCTTAACGTAATTAATGTAATATCTCGTTTACACCTTTCAAGAATAATTATATTCTTCATTTGGTCACAATATACGTGGATTTATTCTAAGTATATCTATTAAACAAAGATCATAAGCCGTGTAACATAAGAAATATTATCTGTTCAAGTTACTTCAACAGATATTGATACTTAATACGAGCGTCATCACTTGATCGATCGAGTCTTGACAAATTTCTACGTACATGGTATCGAATTACAGTATTATGCTGATACATGTATCAGATGTTTCGAGACATTTACTTTTTAAACGTATAAATAATGATACGAGATACTTAGAAAGTACGTATAGTAAGATACTTTTGATAAACAAGTAATATCCGTAAAGTGAAGAAAATAATGATAAAAGTTATCTTCGATCGAGGATAGCTACATCATAGTTATTTGAGACTATGCTGGATTTAGTAAACTGAGGTCAAACTGTGGTGCATTAACCTCGATTGAGCTTAATTAAGAGAAATTAACAGACACCCGGTACTAAGCGTCCCCTCGTAGCAAAAAACACGTCGAAACTCATGGGAGACATGAGAACGCGCGGATATGTCCCTTAACTCGAACATTTTTATCCTTTTGACACGAGACCGTGCATGGTGACGACCGTACTCAGTTTTATGGGAGTTGTAATACTAGAAAAAATGATATACGCGCATATGGTCTAAAGAATTATCTATGGGAATGTAACGTAAAGTAGATCTATTCGTTATCAATGGGAATATTCATTAATTTAATTAATGAATTATACAAATTCGACAAAAATTTTGGATTAAATCGTTTTGCGCGATCGTATCCGCGAACATTTCTTGAGATGGAATGTAAAGTAATCCGATTGTTTAATCGTCAACGCCCTGTCCACGCGCGGCAGTTTAGATAAGGAACTTCTACGACAGTGTCATTGGACGATTAGCAACATTATGGTCGTTTGTGCTCTTTGTAAGTGTTCCATGAACATGAGAGCAGTTTTCTTTGCTCGATGACGTTTGCGTTAACCACTGCATGCTCCGCCGAGTCGGTGCTCGTCTAATAGAAGTGACAAAACGAACAATTCATCGGAGAGAATGAGAACTCGAGTCCTATATAATACCGAGTTCGGTATTGTGATGTTTTAATGATGATTCAAAATCCTAACATTTCCATTATGTATCTCGAGGGATGTGGTTAGCGTAAATAGCTTCTGAAAAGATGAAAAGAAAAATGAATTTACGCTTTGCTAGAGATCTCTTATTGTGAGGAAGGTTCACGCATTTTCATGATTGAACAAGGTCAAAGTTACACTTGTACATTTCAAAATCACGTATGACAAAAGCACAAGTCTACTGGTTCGTTTACGGGGACGGTTCGCGGGGACGGTTCACGGGGACGGTTCACGGGGACACGGTTCACGGGGACACGGTTCACGAGGACTCAGGAAGAACCGCAAGGAACTACGGCGGAATAGGACGGACGTCACGTTTGCATTCTACGGAATTCATAGTCTGACGTCACTCAATGATTTCCGAGTTAATCACGCAGCGAATGGCAATGAATGAGTCAACTTGACTCACGGTGAAAGTACCTCTGATGTGAGTGCAGCGGTATTGCTTGTGTTGTTTCCTCCTATCGTACACGCGACGCGATAGTCGTTTACATTAATAGCCTCTATCAAACTAAGTTATTTTCATATGTGACACCTGTGTGTGTTCTTACGTGTAAATACCGTCATTCTAACAAGGTTCATACACCGGCGCTGCACACGATAGATACATCCACAACAATTGCCCACGTGTTGTCGCGTAGACGTCAAGCACTTTATAATACTAATACAAATGGCTTTCGCCATCCATACCAAGATCATTAGAAAATCGTTAGAATCGTATTAAATAAGAGACAAAGGAATTGAACATTATCGTAACAATGATCTTTCACAACAGACATCGTTCCATGCATTGAGATCCCTTTTTTCCTCGTTGCAACGTCCGTCCTCACCCCGTTCGCTCATCTCGATCATCTGCTTCACTCGTCTATCGCGTTTCCCTATTTTTTGCCGTTGTTTCATTCTTAGCATTGATCCTTCAAAGGATCCTAAGATTACAAACTCTCCAAAAAGTTAGAAAATGAAAAAAAAATGTTTGATCGCTTACCACAAAGGATCCCGTAATCGTTCCTACCACCGCAAGTGGATCATCTTGACGTTCCGTCTTTGAAACGCACAGAACAGGATTCTGAATTCGCCCACGTTCGTAGAAATTCTAGATTTTATCCTCATTCGTAATTTCGACGAAGTTTCCTCGTGATACTCATTAAAGGTATTACGACGATTCACGTACAAGCGGATGATGATGAGTCACACTAATAGGATGAATAATTTTACAAAAATATTAATGTTCTTTTTGATAACGAAAGGATAATTCATTTATTTCAATAAAACAAATATATATATATAGGTATATAGGATTATAAGTTATCACAAGATTTCTATAAAATGACACAATAGGGATTGCTTGTAAGCAGGATGAATCTCGCGTTAGAAAAGTTAGTAAAGAACAAAGTCCCGCGCGTCACCGTCACTTTTAACGAACTGTCGGCAGAACTTACGCGACCACACTGCATACGGGCCCCAGGATGAGTGGGGGTGGGGGGTCTTCCCACATGGAAAACTGGAAGGGGAAGGTGTTACGTTCTTTACTGGATAACGAAGGCAACTCTCGTAGTCCCGTCGTAAGTAACTGCAGCTGCGCGCTCGAGAAACCGACTGACCCAGCGAGATATTGTCTTCCTACTCTCTTTCTCGATTAGATCCTGACACCGATAGTTTCTTCCAGATACTGATACCTTTCTACATAAATTCTGCTATTGTCCTCGATAAGAAATGTTCAAACGTTGATATCTTATATGATTCAATTTTGTAGTGTAAATTGTTTAGATATAACTGAACAAGTTCATCGACTTGAGGAAATGCCGATGATTCGTCCTGGAATGCATTTATCGATCGTTTAAAATCTCAATGGATGAATCTTTCATTGGTTCACGATTCTACTCGGAGGACCCGCATAAGCTGGATCTTCAATAATTTTGGGTCTTCATCCAAAGATGCGTAGCTGAGAAAATCTCTCTCTTTTCTCATTGAAATTATCTATATGAAAAAGATTAAAAGATTTCATTTGAAACTATTCTATTTACTTCGATTGTATAGCATATACATTTTTGCTATTGCACGTAAAAATACCACTCACGAATGATTAATAAATGAAGCTTCCATTCTGAAGTGTTCTTCAAACTTTGTCAAAGTAACGTTGATCGAACAAAAAAGATAAGACTACATCTTTGTATGTTGTCATTTTCTCACGATCTATATCTCTGATGACAATTTTTAGATTGTCGTTATCCTGAAATAGAATTTGTTCGATATCAGTAGATTTTATTTGTCAACTTCTGTCAATAATTAATTAATCATGACACAGTAGTCTATCATTAATTCCATAATAGTTTCCTTCGAATCCAGATAATTGATTACCTTTTAGCTGAAAATAATAATTTTATTACCCACTTATTGTTTTAATATTAACATACATTGAAAATAAATTAGACATACTGGAATACATGAAGAAGTGTAGATTGGACGATTTGTAGGATACGTTCGGTAGATATTAAATATTAAAACTATAAGGGTTCGATGATTTTTGATATGGACATAGGAAATAATCATGCTCTATTTAGATTGAATTAAAAAACGATTAAAGCAAGCATGGCAAAAGAGAAAAGGAATAACAGTGTCACTTCCGACTTGATCAGGGGTCGCAGTCTTCCCTCTTCCGTTACGCGTGCTCGTATACATCTGGATTCTCCCCTTTGCAAAGTGTACCACAGTCTGGTAACGAAATGTAATTATTTTTAAAAAGGATGTAGGGACCACGTATTTCCAGTGGGTCCGATCGGTTGTGGGCGTATATTTGAACAATAAACGCTGCTCAACGAACTTTTATGAATTAATATTGTCGTACGAAGAAATTTAAAAAAAAAAGAAAAGAAACGGGAAGGAAAAAAGGAAAACAAACGCAAGTACTTCAACATCTTGTGGTTAATTCCGCTAATTTTGCTACGTGCCTACGCGCATAAATCATTTCTTGCGCAATGTCGTTCTTTAAATCACTTCAAAACGTGACTCCGAGAAGGAAGCTTTTCTTCCATACAATGTACACCGGAGCATGATAATGTTCTCTATTAAATTTTCAACGCCTCCGCGTCAATCAAAACGATTCCACGTAAATTCACTGATTTCAATCATCATTATTATTTGATTTTTTCAATGAGAATTTGAAATTCAAGAAGAAAGTCACGTCGTCGCTTTTCCTAGGGAATTAAAATCTTGGCGCACGCGCAGCATCCGTTTTTCATTCTAAAATCTGACGGATCCGGGCAATTTACACTCTCAGTCGACTCATGGAATTCATCGGAATGATCTCGATCGAATTGTAATTTTCTTATAAATTCTCATCGCTTGGTTGGAAAGTCAATTTATAATTTGATCGTTCCTGCGATAATTCAATTAAGAGACACGTGTAAAGCGTTTGACGTTACCGATATCAATGTCAATATGAAAAGTGAAAAGAGAAAGAGGAAATTGAAGGTATCGTTCGTTTTAATAAGGATCCGTAAGCAACTACGAGCAATACCGACAAATGTTCTTGTCATTATAGAATCTCATAGTGATTCATTTGAAAAGTGAATTTTGGTTGTATCAAGGTAAGATATCGTAATTGTAATTATCATTGTTATTTCAAAGATATTAAGGTAAAAAATTTATGGAAAAATATGTTAAGTACGCATTCGGTTAGTATAGACTATAAATCAAAAGTAACGGAAAAAAGATCTGTAGCGTAGAGATAAGAGTCTTGTTGATACGTAGGTTTAACTACCTTGGTGGTTATCTTTTTATGATCTTGGGGCAATGTTAGTAAATTCCTGTCTGCGCGCGTATGCAACTGATTAATTATTTCTTTTGTTCGTATACTATACTTTTCCCGAGTCATCGCTTTTCTCAGAAACATTTTTCATTTTTCGAATAGAAACAAATAAAATGGATAAATTGGACAAAAATATTTCAAATATTGATATCACTTTTATATTGCCCTATTATCGAAACAATTAATTCTGCGAGTAAGATTTTATTTGATAGACGATAGGAATGTTTTAAACGTGTATTCTCGTTCAAAAGAGTTTATTCGAGTCTTGGATGGCGAAAATAGATCTCTCTCTTCGTTTTCGATGCCCCGTTGAGAAAAAAAAAGAGAACGATTCCAGCTCCTGTGAAAGATGAACGAAAGAGAGAGCGAGATTTAACGAGGGGAGCAAAGAGATCTACGAGCAACCCATATGAAAGTATATATTTGATCTTCTATAGGAGCTAACGATAAAAAAACAATTCTAATTACGAGATGTTCTCATCGGAGTTTTTCTGAGCTACGCATTACCACCACTATAATGTGCGTAGGTATAGACAAAAGTGTAAGTTGAATTTCCAAACGAATCTGAAAGAAAGAATATTTTTGTCTAATTTATATACTCGATTTTACAGATGCTGGAATATTGGATGATAAGCAACAATAGCGATCTGAAGAGGAGCAATGTAACGATCGAACAGGTCCTACAGGATCCAGGATCAGTGGTTCTCTTTATCGGTTATCCATCATGGCTTTTGTACCTTGCCGCTGGCTGTTGTATTCTCTTTATGCTCATTGGCATTCCAGGGAATCTTATCACCGTGGCTGCTCTCTTTCGTACCAAGAAGGTCGGTTAATTGTTCTCTTTTGCAAGAGTCGGGCAGACACCGAATTTTTCTAACTAACGCAACGACACGAAACCACGACGGTTTTGTCACGCATACTGCTTGTCTCGGTACTTAAGTTTCCGGAGCATACTGATGCACCTGCAAACGTCAGAGGCTTACCTCGAATCTCTCATCTTACAAATTGTTCTGTCTCGAGAATAGTGAATGGTTACACTGTTACGAGTTTTTCTCAACAAATTCTCGCTAGTTTGAATATTTTCTTCTTGAATTCTTATTGAAATCTAGTAAATGTAAAGATTTGAATTTAAAATTAAAGTATAAGCGTTGAAAGAGACGAAACTAAAAGTTACGATGTTTTAAAATTTATCAAAACGAACGAGTAGCAGCAGAGTTGCTACTTGCGTGGACGATTGATTAACTTAGTTTCTTCTGTTATTCTTCCTTCTTCTCTACATCTAACTGTCTCTCTCTCTCTCTCTCTCTCTCTCTCCCTCTCTCTATCCATCATATGTGGCAGATGGCAAAGAGTAAAAGAAGCCAATGATTGAAAGGTCATCGGCACATGCACCATTCCGACATAAAATGTGGCTTTCAAAGTACGTCAGACGCAAACCCGGAACGAAGTTATGTTTGGAAACGATCGTGTACGTTTACGTGCACGCGTGTCCTATGTTTCCACGGGCTTTCACGTACGCGCAAATACGTACATTCAATCTGACAGTCGATATAATCAATGATCTCGAATTAAACTAGTAACGCCTTCGTGCCTTACGTCAATCCTCACCTGTTTTGCTACATTTGTATTGAAAAATTTGAAAAAGTTCAACGAACACGTCCTGATTTTATTATACGATTAATTTTACATAGATCTAATGATCATTTCATTATTTGTCTATAATATTTTCTCTCTATCTCTTTATTTCTTTTCTATGCACTGGTATTTCGGAAGGAGTACGTCAGTACAGCAAAAGTTCCTTATTATATGCAACCCATCATACGCGCGCGTATAATGTCTGCCGACTGCGTATCCCCGGATAAACCAATATTGTTTGTAATAAAACGATTTCATTTGATTTTCTTACAGTTGAAGAACGCCACTACGATATTCATAATGAATTTATCATTTTCGGATCTAATGTTTTGCTGCTTTAATTTACCACTAGCCACTTCAACATTTTGGCATAGATATTGGTTACATGGAACACTCTTGTGTCGTCTATTTCCACTGCTGAGATACGGTCTTGTCGCTGTCAGTCTTTTTACCGTTTTGACAATCGCGATTAATCGTTACGTCATGATTGGACATCCCAGACTCTATCCAAAGTAAGTACGTTATGTTTTCATTCGAATTAAACAATTGAAAATGCGATGCATCGATGAAAGAATCTAAGCAAATCTTTGCGTTTCTTTCTGTAGACTTTACAAAACGAAATACTTGGTACCAATGATTTTGGCAACATGGATCTTCGGTTTTAGTTTTTTAATCATCACATGGTTCGGTCATTGGGGTCGTTTTGGTTTAGACACTGCAATAGGTTCCTGTTCGATTCTTCCGGATGTACATGGCCGAAATCCAAAGGAATTCCTCTTCGTCATAGCATTCTTAACTCCCTGCGTAGCAATCGTAGTATGCTATGCGAGAATCTTTTACATCGTTCGTAAGACGGCATCGAAAAGCCGTAGACGAGATCAAATTTCTCCCACGATCGACGAAGGCGAGAGGAATCGCGAGGTAAGTGATTCATCGATGAGTCATTTAACTAAATTTCTTCTTTTTTTTGTTTGAAACATTATTGGATATTTCATGATCTTAGCAAAGATCGGTCACACCGAGATATCAAGAGGAAGAAGAATCGTCCGTAGTTGGTTCGAGTTGCGTCGCCAGTGGGCTATGCGTTTCCTTTTCTAATCGTCCAACGAAAGAAGAACAAATTTCGAAAATTTTTCGAGTCAAAACTTACGAGGAGTCGTCCTTGGGAAATCCACCTTCGTCCGAACAAGACTCGTCGAGAGACGAAGAAAATGATTTGCAAGAACAAGAGAGTTCTATTGGTCTAGATCCTTCTGCACAAGACAAGGACAAAATAGCATATAAAGTGATCGAGGATATACCGTTTGCGGATGATCGTAACGCCGATATCAGCGATACGAACACATTTCTGAGCACTCATCCAAGAAAGATCAAGGATTTAACTGACAAACCGAGTTTTAATGCCAAGAAAAGACTCGAAAGAATGGCAAGCCGTGCATCGTTTGTAGTCGATTCAACATTTTGGATCGAAAGAATCACTGAATCTGGGACGCGATTGGAACGTTCGGAAACATTTGCTAGTTCGAGATCAATTACCCCTGATCGTCGTAATAAAACAAAAGCTAACAATCAAATATTTCGACGAGAATCCAAATTCAAAAGTCTCGGTAGATTTCGTAATATGGACAATGGGCCAAGAATGTCGAGGAAAGATAAAAAACTCTTGAAGATGATACTTGTTATATTTTCATCCTTTCTAATCTGTTATTTACCGATCACCATTACGAAACTTTTTAAAGAGGCTGAGAATTGGATGGGTCTCAACATCGCTGGATATATTCTTATTTATTTAACAACATGCATCAATCCCGTCGTCTACGTTGTTATGAGTTCCGAATACAGGAGTACATATAAAAATATGTTACTCTGTAGGAACGAGTCTGTATCTTCCGCGAAGATGAAAACTTCTCATAGAATTGCTAGAAAACCATCTACGTGAATATTATGATTTGAATAAAACTTACTTGAAATATATGCGCGCGTATGTGTATGATAATGGTGCAGCATAAGTCGCGTCTGAGAATTTTTCGAAGGACGGAAGGATGCTATGGCCTTACCATAAATGTACTTTAAATAATTCGATGAAAAAAGTTACAGAGTGCAATATTAAAAGTAAAAGACAATTTGATAAAAAACAATGTTTTAGTTACTTTTTTTTTTTACTTGAATATTAAAAGAGGAAATGTGTGTATTTAATAGAATTTTCAACTGTTAAATATAAGAAGAAAATATGTACAATTTAATACATAAATATGTTTTCCAAGGCAAAAATTCGTGGTTCAATCCCACGTTGGAAAATATACTGAAAACTATAAGTACATTCTATAATTATAATACGAACTAAATTAATTTACTTAATACCGTTGAATTCCATTGCGAGTTTAGCGTACATAAATTGATATTAAAACTAAGGATTATTAATTAAAAAATACTCCACTCGCGAACTCTCCCTTTTTAAAAGGGTTTTCAAATCGCCCTTATCTTACATACAGACAGAAATATTATTCAAGATTTGAACGAATTTTTGAGAACGATAACATTACCAAATTCGTCTGTTAATTTGTTGAAATTAAAAATGAAAATGAAAAAAATAAATATTAATATCGATCCAAACTCGATGGAACAGTTGCCGCCTGTATGGTACTGATATTCATTGTCTGCCATTTTTTCTCGTTACTACTATCCTTCCTGCTATCACTTTGAGGCGTTACCTTAGTTATATCCAATTTGTTTTCAGAGTTTTTACGTTTGAAATGCATACCAGCCGCTGTTCCACCCAAACCAATTCCTCCAAGAACCATCAACCATTTCATAAATCTGAAATTCATTTGTGTCTTATCAATTGGATATGGTGTTTGGATGAATAATCAAGTACCATGTTGTATCACTAAAGATTGAAACACGTAAATGCTTACCCCACAACAGAGATTGCTGTAAAAACGACTTTAACTTTTTTCACAAATTGATCATCGAGGAGGATACCTTCTTCAACCCAAAATAAAGGAAACAAAACTTCTGGAAAGTTCTTCATTAGTTTGAATTTTTCAATGGGTCGCAGTTGTATGTTAAATTGTAATCTTTTATGTGCACTTATTGGTGTAGCCGTCATTGGTTCAAAATCCATACTAATGTCGTGTTCCTCCTACATATAAATGCATATAGAAAATAATATTCTTGCTTTTCTTGCGTTCTTTGTTTCTTTTACCTGATTCGGATGTAGTCCGTCCACGTCCCGAATATATTTTTCATCGGCTAAATAAAAGTGCGGTAAAGAGGCAATCAATGGTGCACCCACGCACTTTGTTAAATCGAATAAATTCTTCGATAGACAATTATCTGGCGCAGGACAAAAGCATTTTTCGCGAGGATTTGTGCTCATGTCTCCAAGATTCGCGGTGTAATGAAAAGTATTGACACCTGAAGTATTATAACTTTTATCAAGAGCACAAAATCTTATTTATTATTATATACAAAATTCGAAAAAGTATTACCTTTAACTTTAGTTTCGTGCGAGAAACGAGCACCCAAACTACGACAAATATCTGGGGAGAAGGAAACGATGTCATCTTCCTTTGTCATAAGAGGTGGAAAAATGGTCGAATCGGTACCGTTGAACTCGTTGCAGTGATCTTCGGTCCAAATGGTCAACGCTGGTTTTTTATCAAATTCTAATACGCGGCCAACATCTTTATAATTTTTAATGCCACGTAATACGCGCAATCTTTCGGGCATGACCGTTCCATTTTTCTTAAATAAAAACAACAAATTAAGACAATTGTTAGAGTAAATGCTTTTTTAAAAAAAAAGTCCAGAACATAGAAACTGTATACGTACTGCACCAAATATAGCAAATCTATAATGATCATCTCCATCGTTCATTAAATCTTTGCCTTCCGATTTCAAAATACTACACACAGCCGAGCCCGCGAAATCTTTCACCGAACAGTCCACGGGTAAACCATCGAAAAGTATTTCTCTAGCTTTCACTCTTACAAAGACCGAATCGGGTTTTTTAAAGATGCTGTCCACCGCTTTATCTAAATAAAAAAAAAAAAAAAAATATATATATATATATATATATTCATTCTGGTGGTATAAAAATCACACACGCGCCTAGGAAAACAACACCTTTCGCGCGCTATCGAGTAGAATAAATAATTTCTTCCTCTTTATAAGTTTCACAGCCCCGATAGTGACGCGTTATAGTCGTCGATGACCTTAAAACTTGGTCGAAATAAAAGAATGATCGATCAATGGTATCTTGGGACTATGGGTACGAATGAATTTAGAAAGACTTCATTTATTATTTCGATAACTCACTAAGAATTCCAATAGCGGCGGGTTTTTCTCTCATAGTGGTGACCACCATTGCCAAAATTAAAAGATGCGGAAGCACGAGTTCCTCTTCGCCTGTTAAACCGTTACTCCTCGAAGGATTGAAAAACCAAGTAGCTTTTAGACTGTACTCGAGCGAATCATCCTCTTCTCTATCCACTAGATCAACTTTTTCTTTGTACTCGCTGCAATATATTGTTTATAATCTCAAAATAAATATGCGAGGATAAGTTTCTTTTCGTCGCGATGTTGGTTGTTCAACTCACTCGTAAAAAAATGGCCCCACTTCTTTAACAATAGGCTTCTCTCCTTGTGCGATTTCCTTTGGATTCGTTACGTTAAAAAGATAGATCTTGAAATCGAGTGGTAATGGAAACTGCGACCACATTTCTCTCATTTCGGAATTCTTTTTTAGGGCTATCGCCTAAAAATGGCGCAATGTAGTTAAAGAATATTCAATGATTTTACGTTACGTAAAAATAAAAAGAGAAATTTTATGTTCTCACTATAAACTTTGTAATATATATTTATTTAAATATATATATTAAATATATGCATCATTGTGTTCATGTTGCAGTGTGACAATTTTTATCAAGGTATATATTATAATAATAATAGACTTCTAGTTGATGATTCTCTCTAATCAGAGACTCGCATTTACGGATATGATACAACAGATATGTAATAAAAAAATAACAGATGACAATAGAGATCAAGGATTTAACCTGTGCCGTATCTATCTTTTCGAAGAATTAAACAGTCATTGTGTAATTATAAACATAATGAGAGGTGAAAGATTCTCTTTTTACATCGAAAAAATAAAAATCGGTTACGATGCATATAATAATTAAAAAGGTATGCATTTATATTTATTTTTCTCGTAAAATCTTACCTTTTTAATTTGCGACTTGAGAAGAGCAGGAAAGCCCATCCAACCGAAGGTAATGCCTAAAAAAAAAAGTACACCACCGCCGATACCAAGTTTCTTTATAAGCTCCATTTAGGGTCTCTATAAAAATTATAATTTGCTGATTACGATCAAAACGTCAAATAAAGGTAAACAAAAATGTTGAATTTAAAATAAAAGATGTGCCTAAATGTAATTATGATAGAACAAATCTAATGATTCAATAGTCGTTTGTACTTTGTTAGACGATCTCGCTACTCGTCCTGATCGTTTGATTCTCTAGAACTTCTTGTAAGAAACTGCTGTTGCTGCAAAAAAGTCCGATGTTGTTTAGACGGAATCGGCGTCGGCGCGTACTTCTTTCCTCTTCCTCTTCGCCATCACCTTACCAACGAAGTCTTTCGTTTATGATGGTAATGTTGCAACTGCGCAATGCCATTTATGAAAAATAAGAAATAACAAGGGCAAACGATCTCGAATGAAAGAGTAATATTTTAGTAGTATAATTGTTACAAAGTCATTCAAATAAGAGATCTCTAATTGAAGAAAAAACATTTCGTTCAATTTAATATCTCTCATCTTCTGTAGAATTATTTTTCTCATGATCAAAAAACTATTAAAGATAAGAATTATTTTAATGAAAAAAAATATTTTATCATATTATAAAATTTGTTAATACAAATGGCATATGCGTCTGTCTTCTTTAAGTCACTCCGGGCATCATATCGGTCTTTGGTGTCAAGTTTAACGCCTATCGAGCGCGTGGTGCTGAAATATTAATTAAATATGAGCCACCTAGAGGTACCTACCACTATAGTACATACTCGAGGAGCAAATTATTATAATATTATTACTGTTTTATAATATCGTTGACTCTTTTACTCTTGTGATCTAAGAATAGATGAAAAATTATAAACTTAGCTCGAAAGATATTATTGCATAAATAAAAAGTTCAGTTATTTAGCTTAAACATTGTTCTTAATACAGGACTAGATCAACTCGACAATCAAATGATTTCTTATAAAAAAATTAATAATTGCGTCGTACTATAATTTGGAATCATGTATATCAAGATCCGATCGGAAGTGATTGTTACGTTGTAAAAAGAAAAATGTCTTCGCGTCCTGAGCATTGGCCTACGATATTATTGATCATCGATTAGATCTTGTTCGTCCTGTCCTTTAAATGGTTGCAGCTGTGACGGTAAAAGTACCGCGACGGTTCGTCAAGAATGCATGAGAATTGTTATATAAAAAGGCCAACCTTTCGACTTGTTTCCTTCGATACGATTCATGTCTATCGTAAAAGCTCAGTTAGGTGTGATATTTCCCACGAAGTAACTCTTTCCGAGCTTTGTTCGAGGTGTAAGAAAGAGGGGCATAAGGGTTTTGATGGACACGCTATGCCATCTCATTGGCCCATTTATGTTCTACGTAACTCGTTCGATAGAAGATCTTCCTTATACAGAATGCACCTTGGAACTTTACAGGACACTTTAAAACGAAGTCAATTCGTTTCGACGCCTACTTTCATGTCTTTACAAATAAAAACAACTCAAGTTCCAAAGTTTCCAATATCATAAGTTTAAAACGTAACTTTTTTTACGCATAAAGGATAAGGATGCGTGCCTTTATGTACACCAAAAAAAGAAAAGAAAACAGAACTCGTTTTTAGTAACGCAATTTTCAACGTATAAAAGATAATCATGTACGCTCATTTTTTTTTTATTGTATGCATAAATAATATTTTTCTAACAAATAAACATCGAATTTTATTTTTTTTAAAAGAAAAAATTTAAATCGATATTGGGACATTGTGAATGTAGGGAAAACGAAAGAGGTAGAAAAATAAAGGTAGCCATTCTTGAAAAATTACCAACCGTGCCATTTGTAACGTGCATGCACTGCAACGGGTACGGGATACGGTTTGGGAACTTGATACGGTACCGCCACATGAACCGGATAAGGTCGATCTACATGAACCAATTTTTCATAAGCCACTGGATAAGGTTTTGGAACTGGAACCGGAACTGCGACTGGTCTATCGACTGGAACGTGAATTGTCTTTTCGACTGGGATCGGTATTGGACGATCTACATGCACGATTTTTTCAACATGAACAGGATATGGTTTTGGGACTGGAACAGCCACTGGTACTGCTACAGCACGATCCACCTGAACTGGTACTGGCACTGGCACTGTTATCGTCTTCGTTACAGGAACCGGAACAGGAGGTGGCAAAGCTGGAACTGGAACTGGTAAAGCGGCTCCTAAGACGAAAACAGATAATCAAATGATTAACTTAATTAACGAAATGACTCAATATCGTATTTATACTGACCAACGGGATGTGACAAAAATGATGCTGGTTGCAATGCCGGGACTGGTTCAAAATGTCCATGTACGTGATGTAAATTATCTGGATGTGGTTCTTCATAAATGGGCGGTTCTGGAGGACCATAAATTTGTCCTCCTTGTTCCGGATGATCATGTTGGAAGCCATATCCTAGACCGACGAGTCCTCTCTTATTATGTTTCTTCGACACCTCTGGACTGTTACTATCTCGTTTCTCAACAGTTATAGCCATTCCCGCAGTTAAGAGCACTGATATTTCCTGTAGATAGAATATAAATATTTGTAATACAAATTTATACATACTCTTGAGTTGATTAAAATAAATGCAGTTTGATTCGTTTTGTAAATTACAACGTATAAATGCATTGACAAACTTTATCAAAGAGAATCACAAGAATAGTACACTATTTCGTACCAATGTATAATATATGAACTTCATGATTTCCAGCAGTAATTGCTAACACCTAGTTACCAGCACCAACGCCGAAGAAAAACTGTGTTTGCTTCGATATTGTGACCCCCATAAGTATTTATAGAATGTCGCTACGCGACAAATCGCTACAGGAAGAAGAGTACATGTCGTTTTCGTGGACCTCATTGTCATATCGATCGTAGATTCGATAAACTTTCGCTGCTACCTATCCTGGGCGAGAGCCAAATAACGGTCTACTCCGCTTTTCTTTCATACGTGAATGGTAGCGATTCTGAAAGAGAAAGAAACATTAGACACGTAATCCGATATTGTCGCGCACTGGATTGCATTAGGTGTTAGAGATCGAACGATAATGACATACGATATACATACAAGATGATTCAATTCGTTGTTCCGTACTCTGTCATCAGAGAAAGTGATTGAAGAACGTGCCTATCTGCAATCAATTATGATCCAAACGATTTATGATCTACATCACTAGAATACCTTAGAAAAATGTAAATTAACGTAGAAAACTTGATGAACATTTCCTGTTATTATTGTTATTATTGTAACACGGAAAACAAAAAAATGACAAAGCGATAAATGCATCAATGCCAAAATACAATTTATCGATCTTAGATGAATATTTTATATTCGTGTATATTGTCTTTGACGCAACATTTAATTAAGATCTAACAATCAGAGTTTTAACAAAGGTGTGTTATATGTTCCAGTGGACAAACAATTATTCAGTAATGAATAATGAATGAGCAGTAACGACTGGCATTAGAAGTAGTTTGAACGTTAGAAAATGAAAGTTAGGAAAGTCCGCTTCCATGGACGTGGTCGATACGGAAGCACTCTAACAACTACTTCTTGTTGTTAATGGGAAAAAAACAAAACCAAGAATTATTAAAAACAAAGTAGTTATGTTAATCAATTAAAAAGTAAAGAATATTTGTTATGAATATATAAGTCAAAGTACATTGATATGCTATTATCTTAAATCATCAATTAGAAATATTTTTGATTTAATTGAAACATGAATTGTATCTTGCATTAGAAAAAGCTTAAATGTATTATCTAAACGAAAAACTTTTTTAACGTTTAAAACGGCATTAAATTAGCGCGTGCTTACAGATTTTTTTATAAATTCAGCTAAAAATATAATCCAAAATGGTTTCTTTGTGTATAAACCATAGTCAAGTATCATTATACGTCGGTAAGTTGTTCTCGAAATATCCTTTAACAAGAATCAGTATGGATCCGACCACTTTCCTCTCCGGAAATGCTAGAATTGTCAACCAACAGCATCGAGTTCCCGGTCCGATCAAAGACGGGAACTCGATCTTGACTCTGATCCGGATTAATCGAACTATTAATCGCTGATCTGGAAATATAAAAGCCTACCGACATCTAGACCTTCTGAGCAGTTGCATCGCGACGAATGAACAATGTTGAAGGTTTTGGTAAGGCAACCCTTAAACCAAAAATAAAGAGAAGGATGATTAAATTATTGTAATACGCACAAATGTGGATTTATTATTAACATCAATTATTAACCTTATAGTTAGTTTTGACAATTCTGTGCGGTTCCGTTTTCACGGAAGAATCTCCGGAAGAAACGAAGCAAAGAAAACGAGGTATCTTGGGTGGTAGCGACGGATGGATTGGTATACCAAATCCACATTCTTATGGATATGGACAACCATGGGCAGATCATCATAATCCATGGAAAAATATTAAATTCGGAAATATCAATTTACACCATGGAGGGTAATCACGTTTATCTAATCAAATATATTGTATTATTTAATATTATTATTTAACACGTAATAAATATCTTCTGAAAGATGGAATGGATTTGGAAGTTACGGAAAAGGAGGTTTCGCTTTACCATCTGGTAACGGCCATGGACCATTAGTGAAGACACTTCCCGTATATATAACGAAACATGTAGTTTTGGAAAAACCAGTTCCGGTTCCTGAACCAGTATACATAGAGAAACCATACCATATCCCGATAGAAAAAGTGATTCCGGTACCAGTCGAGAAAATTATTCACAAACCAGTACCTGTGCCTGTTCCAGTTCCACAGGTAATAATTAAAAGTTATAACTAACAAGGGGAGAGCAAAATTGACAAGACTAATACAAAGAGGGTTAAAAAGTTTTGAGCCTTATACGATATAGAAATCATAAAATTTATTTCATAGGCAATTCCAGTCCCCGTGGAACACCCTGTGCCAATACCAGTGAAACATCCTGTAGCAGTACCAGTTCATCACCCTTATCCGGTACCGGTAAAACAAGGAATACCGATACCAGTACCAGTTCCGTTTCCGATACCCCCACCATATCCGCTATACGGTAGAGGTTTTCCGGCCGGTCCCTTCTATCCAGGGTTACATGGTCACGCGCATTTTGGTCATGGCTTTGGCGGCCACGGTTATGGTCATGGATTTGGTCATGACTTCGGTCTAGGACATGGCTACGGTGGTCATGGCTACGGAGGTCATGCTTACGGTGGTTATGGCTACGGTGGTCACGGGTATGGCCATGGAGGTGGCTACGACTTTGGTGGTCATGACTATGGTAGACACGGACATGGTGGCCATGGTTATGCTCATGGTTATGGACATGGACCGTATGGATACAACCACCCTCATCACTACGATCATGGTTATGGACACGAACGTAAAGAAAAACGAAGTAAACATTAGAATAAATCGTAATAGGAATAATTACTATCTTAATATAAATAGTTACTATTAAAATGTTAACACAAGTAAAGTCTTAACTCTTGTAAATGTGTACCAAAGTAAAAGTTTGAAAATCTCTGAAGATCGCTGTCCTTAGACACACATACAGAAAATACTTGAAATCATCGTTTATGCATATTTTATATGATCTCAAGAATGCAACAAGTTCGAAATCTACTCGATTATAGGCAATAAAATAGCTACTGAAATTAGACGATCTTCTGGCAAAATAATACAACCTTAGAACCATAAAATATTTCAGCAATTTACCTTAAAAAGACAATTACAAATGTAAATATGACAAAATTATATGTAAAAATAATAATAATATAGACTAACGTGTATTAAAAGAAACTGTCACAACTTTTTACGAAACATTTAATAAACGTTTACCTTAAAGAACCGTAATATTATTATAATGTATTCGGAATAACTAGATAAATATATCTTGCACTGAATTTGGTTAATTATAGTAGTAGATAATAATGTAAATACTTGTGTGCTATAAAAATTTTGAAATAATATAGAATTATTTGATCTGTTTCTTCTCATCTATGATTGGTCCGCCAGTAAATTTTCTTCTATATCTCTTATTGGTTGTACTGTTGAGACTACTATTCCGATTGGTTAAAATGAATAATATAAATGTAGAGTTTAATGAATCTTATTGGTGGCATATGAAAACGAAATCGCTCGGTAAAAATTGAGAGGACCAATCTGTAAACAAGAAAAGTTGAAAACACTTAAAACTATTAGAAAATGTTACCACCGATGGAAACTGAGAGAATAACGCAGTATTATAATATTTTTGTAACTTTTTATATGACTTGGAATACAATTTTAACTCTGCGATATGCAAAAAGCAAACCGTATTATTAAATTCTATCTACTGTCATTGAAAACTAATAACAATTATTTTATATCATATCCGATAATGGAATACGTATTCAAAGTAGCAAAAGTAGTGACACATGGTGTATTTTTTGCAAATGCGCCGCGTATTTGTCAGCTGACATAAAAACCGAGAAATTCTTAGTTTTTTCGTTACTTCCTCAATTAAAAAACTTATGATCTAAGTCAAGCTGATAAAAGGATCTTTACATTTATTCGCATAGTTTTTAAAACGCTAACAAATACTAACCAAATTTTAAAAAAATATCTATTATTTGAACTTCCTAATAAACAATTCGCCCATTTTTATGCATGGTAATGTGTCATCTGAGATAATGATTTTATATTATATAATTTCTTTTTGAAGAAATGCTATGGTGATGATTAAAAAGTAAATGAGATATATTTGATCTCGTATAGCGAGTGGCGTCATAAAAAAAAATGACTGACTCTTCATCCTCCGGCGTATCTGCCATTGTAAGGTAAATTAAATATATATCTTTTGTGACAGCTTTCTTTCCTTATTTATATTAAATTAAATATCAGCAAATAAAACATTCATTGATTATTTGTTTTTTATATCTATATAATTATTATAACTTTCTTCGTCAAACGTTTTCTTAACCTTCAATTTAGCACACACATTGTTGAAACGACTTCAAGTTTCTACAATTATTTTACGCACTAGAATTTATTTTTCTTTCTTTCCATTCGCTTTTTAATTGTTCTTAGCAATAAATAAATATTAAATAATTGCACTATCATTATAAATAAATAAGTAGTGACATTAATATAATTGTTTCGAAGTTTTAATCTATCGTCAAATTATGCTAATTCTCTTTTTCTGGTTTAAATAATACATTTTTATTTCGTAAATAATTAGTAATTTAAAGATTATCATAATTAGTTAACATAAAATAGCGAAGATTTAAATAAACATTCAGTGGAAAATTGTCTTCCGCATTATTATATTTCATTACTTTAATTGAATTATTTTAATATTTTTAAACTATATATATATTTGTGTATACTCCAATTGTTTTACATAGTTAGTAATTAAATTGGTTATTTTATATTTGAAATTATTTGCATTTTCATATTGTTTTATGAGCTGGCTTAAATAAAAATGAAAATTAGCGATGAGATTTAATAAGTCACTGTAATAATAACTTTTGTTCCAGGATAATTAGCAAGATAGTGACATTTGTAAAGGGTATTGCTCGAACAAGCTTTGTAATATTAAATAATATTTATTGTATACCTACGTATATAGTATGGATGACTTTATTGTATCCTGTGAAAGTATACCAACCACAAATATATTGGCGTATAGAGGGTCTTTTTTTTCATTGGTTATTAGCCATGGTTTCTATGTGGACGTGGTCCGCCGGTTATGACAGTAAGTTATACAATTGTAATATCAAATGTTAGAACTATAAATTGAGCGATCTCCTCGTGCTATTATTTCAAATAAACATTTCTTTTATAGTAATAGAACAAGGCGACGATATAGAGAAGATTATTAGCGAAAGAACACTTGTTATAGTAAATCATCAGAGTACCGGCGATGTTCCTATTTTAATGACAACATTTAATTCAAAACCAAATCTATTGCCCAATTTGATGTGGATTATGGATAGAATATTTAAATTCACTAACTTTGGCATTATTTCTATCTTACATCACGACTTTTTTATCATTTCTGTAAGTTAACGTCCCGATTGTATTTTATTTAAATACATTAAGTAATAGATGTTTCTTATCTCTTTGCATAAGACATTTTGTCAATGATTATTTTATTAGTTTATTAAAAACTAAAATCATTAGGGTCGTAAACGAAGAGATGAAAGCTTGAGACAACTGGAAAAACATCTTATAGAATCGTATATATCGCTCGATCGAAAGTGGTTGGTTCTATTTCCTGAAGGAGGTTTCTTGTGTAAGCGTCGTGAAACATCACAAAAATATGCTAAGAAAAATAACTTGCCTATCCTAGAGAATGTGTCTCTACCTAGAGTAGGAGCAATGCAGATAATATTTGATACTGTCGGTCCAGCGGAGGATAACGAAGCGCAACATGACCACTTAGGCAACAAAATAAGTAATATATCTTATTCTAATTTACATTACTTCTATAACTTTATTCGCACGTGATAAAGCATACAATGGGAAAAAAAACATAACGGTAAGTTTATGAATTTTTCATACAGGTACGGCAGTAGCACCAGATGAAATCACTTGGGTTCTTGATATAACAATAGCATATCCTCAGGGTAAACCTATTGATTTACTTACAATTATAACTGGTTCGAGATCACCTTGCGAAACGGTTTTGTTTTATCGAGTTTATCCTAGTAAAGTGGTAAGAAATTATGTATTTAATAATATGTATATGCGCATACAGATTTTTTATTTTATTCATTATAACAAACTCGTAGGTCCCACGTAAACCAGAACTATTGTCTAAATGGTTGTATGATAGATGGGCAGAAAAAGAATTGCTTTTGGAAAATTTTTATAAACATGGCGCATTTCTTGATAAAAGTGGATCAACTGCGAAAGGTTCAAAAATCCAACAGGATCCATTAAGATTCCTAGTCCTTCATTTATTTTTCATAACATCTAGTTATATACATTACAGTATGCTTCAATATATATTATCTTGCTTTTGGTAAAGCATCCTATGCCGATTAAGCATAGAATTAAAAACTTAGGATAATTGTAAGACAAAAAGTGGATTATTCCTGCCTTAAACAATATTAACATTTATTATAATAAAATAACGAATGTATATGGATTGTCAATTCCAATCGAACGTTCACGATTTAGATACATTTTAATGGCCAATGCCACTTTTTCATTTGAAACAATAAAAGAATTTGGGATTTTGCATGCATATAATTATTCTATTTAAAACAAGGAATTAGTAAAAAAAACAATTTTCTAAATATTAACTTTAAGACATAGGGTTTGACGTATTTTCAAGTAAGTTGCTTTTATTTTCAAATTTCTTTTTATTTGTCGGAAGCAACTATATTTTATACAGATGAATCGTATATATGCATGCTCACATACGTATTATTCTTGTTATATCTTACACGGAATAATTATAGTATTTTTCCATGAAGCAAATAATTATTTGCAGTAGTAATGCAACTTCTTGATATGATCTATAACTTGTATAAAACCTTCTACAGAGTTTGGTAACTAATTATTAATATGTAGTTACCAGTAGTTTAGTATAAAAATTTATTTATTTTATGTAAGTGCAAATTCAGGAGCATTTATTAAATACTTATTTGACACTCATATTTTATAATTACAAAAAAAAAACAAGATCTGCGCATTTTCTTAATTGTAGTAAATTATAAAACTGGTGCATTTTGCTTTTTTTTTATAAAGACATAAATATATATATATATATATATATATTTATAATATATATATTTATAATGCATAATATATAACACATGTTATGTAGAGTATCGATTTTATGGATTTATCAATTTATTACAAAAAAAGTTATTTTCTTTCTGCATTCTTTACATAAAGTACGAGTTCATTGACACTTTATTAAGTGCTTAAGGTCTTAACATTTAAAGCAATTTTGATTATATCTTGCATGCATGTTTCATAATAATTTGTTACACATCAATTGTGAAATATAATAACAAAATGATATTACCTTTATAAAAACAGTAATAATTCAATATTTAAAATAAGCTTCTATACATTCTGCATTCTTTTGTCATATGTAATAAGAAAGAAATACTTTTAAAAGTACGATTAGAGCAAATTTTTCTAAGTAATGGTATTAAAAATTAATAAATTTGAAATCTTATTGTGCTATATTGGATTAACTATGAAATTTAATTGATTATGTTAAATATTGATAAAATTGGAAATAGTGCTACTTAGAATTCGTTACACTTTTATATAAACTAAAAAACAATATTATAACGTTAACAAAAAGATATATTTAAAATCAGTCGTGCCTTGCTCCTATAAACAGTTTTGCTGTTAACTGTAAATAGTATGCAGATGTTAAGCACATAACTACGATTAGAGCAGCACATTATTCATTTTTAAGACATTCTTAAAACGTGTCTTATTTCCTTCTTATAAAGTGATATAATGTTAGTATAAGTCTAATTTATAAGTTTCATTGACGGAAAGTTGCCTAATTAATAGCTTTCCAAAATAAAAGTTGTGGTAAAAATCAAAATATCTGACGATCCAAGGTTTATATAAGTAAAGAAATTAATGCACATATTTTTCACGAAACATTTTAATTTTGAAAATAAATGAATTTATTTATTATGATCTAAGTTCTAATATTTTGTTATTGGGTAACAAATTAAACGAATAATATTATTGTAAAATACACTAAACACTTTCGTATGATATACATATATCAAACCCGTACTTGTAAATTACCAATTGAATATTCAATATGCAAAATATCTGCAAAAAATTTAAAAAGCAACTAACTTGTGAAGAAAATAAAAATTCTATGTAACAAATTTAAATTTGGATCGTAAATATCATCGACATAGTTCTATGCGACGATAATCTATAATACCTTGGAGAATTCACTCGTAAATTCGTGTCACTTCATAAGATTATTTGCATTTCTTTGCATTTAAATATCTACAAGTTTTATACACCAAGTACAAATAACGTTTACGTATAGAGATATTAGTAAGACTATAATATAATTATAATTGCAAAGATCTGCAAGTAACTCCAAACGCGTATCAGCAGGTTTGTGATTAGGATTTCAAATGTTCATAATTACTTAAATATACAAGTACGGTGCTATTGCAGGAATTGCATTTTCTTTTGTGAGTTGCCTTCTAGTAATTATGAGATTTTCGTTTATAGATTTAATTCTAAACTTTCAATAAAATTATTAGACGATTGTACAGTAAGATATAAGCATATTATGACATAGACATTTCGTTCACAGATCATTTCTAGTCCACTTTATAAATTTTGTTTATATTAATGGATATTAAATGACATTTGTATGTGATTAAATTTATATGAATTTAAATATCTAATGTGGTAATAAAATGGTATGTGTAGTTCTAATTTTTTTTTCTTTTTCACTATTACAAGATAAACAATTATTATTTTTGATAACACGTACTTTAATATCAATTGAATATAACCAAATTTAAACAATACCGATAATTATTCAATAAAAGTCTTATCGTGAAATGTATAATATTGAAATAAGGGTTGTGTTCTACTTTTTAATGATATATTGAATCTTACCTCCTTCTCACAACTCGATTAATCATCAAATCGTAAAATTCAAATAATATACAATAAGAACTGCAGGAAAATTATTTTATGCCTTAATATTATTTATTTACGCGCAAATATATATATACTATCATAAATCATCATGTAAAGTATAGCCATTCTTTTTCTTTAAAATAGATCGAAAGGCTGCGTATAATGCTATCATTTTTTTTCTTTTGATATATATAATAACACAAACATAGTAAATATTAATAATATTAATATTAATAATAATAATAATATAATGTAGTATCGGTAAATAAAAAGATTACTACGATTCTTAAACATATCATTACTAACTACATTGATTATATCTTAAATCTTATTTATTTAAATATTGTAGTTCTTCGTATTATAAACATGCTGTGTTTGTGATAATAACGACCCTTTATCTTTCAATTCTTATACAGAGAGAAATAATAAAATAAACAATATATATAATCTGAAAGATAATAAATACTATTAAAATGAATTGAAAAGAAAAAGTGACTTTTAACGGTATTTACAACGCATCATACGCGAAGAACGTTCAGTACAAACTTCGACAATACTGCAGTAATACCATTTTTAAACACGCAATCGATATAAATATATATAATTTCAACATTCTACATTTTTTACCAAGAAAAGTAATATCAAAAATATAAATAATATTTTAAATGTCGTGACCTTAGAGATAAATCGTGCATATTACCTGTCTTTTTCCGTTTACGTTCATATAATCTTATCAATGCATTATCGGTTTTTTAAGTTGTTAATGTATCATATTTAAAACGAAAATAAAAAATGGTAAATAAAGTATTTTAATAAATAAAATCTATTTCTATATAGTAATCTTATGTTTATATTTATTTAATTAGAAGAAAAGTAAAACAATTTGGTCATAAATATTGATTAATTATTCGCTAAATGTGGTTCTTTCATTTATAATTATTTACAACCATTTTTAGAAGCCTCTATATGCTATCAACAAAATTAGAATATGAAATAAAAATACATCCGATTCAATAAGTCCTTTTTAGAAACCAAACATATAAAAATTGAATATATATATAAAAGTTGAAAAAGTTTTCATTCTATTCATTTTCGCTGTAATTTATTTAAAAATTATTCCTAAAGACATAAAACGTTTAAAAGAGCTCCGCATATTTATAACATCGTTTTATTACTTTATCTTTTCCGTAGATCTGTCTGTAATCACTTGCATGCTTTTAAATTTATATAATGTACATTTATCAATGAGAAACACGTACAACAATTTGCATTATTTTCATTTGTAATGCACTGATTGTATAAAAGCTTTTATAACGTTGCATTAAAAGAAAGTTTGATGGGCACGTAATTTATTAAAATTGACAACGTTTAAGTTCTATGATATAATTTATAGAAATATATTTAACATTTTTACGAAATATTATATGTTGTTGTATAAGGGAGAAATCTGATATTTTTGATACAAAATATACATGCATAAAAATAAAAAATATAAAAGATAAAACCGTACTAAATAATACTTAATATGTGTTAAAATATAAATCCATACATAAATATCATGTTATATACGTACTCGGCCACACATGTACATATGTCTATATTTACACATAGTAGCATGTATAACAGCATTATGTATGGCAGTTTTAAAATATTTTTAAATCTGCACATTCCATAAAAAATATTTACTATTTACAAATAATTTTCACCGCCAATTTACTCCCAGATAATAGTTATTTCTCCTTCTATAGCTTATATCTCTGCTTTGTTTGATCTCTCTTTTATTTTATTTTATTATATGTGTATATATATATATATATTTATATTTATATTTCATATAATATATATATACATTTTAATATAGGATCCAATGACTAAACGTCGTCTTACGCTGTACTAATTTCTGATATTTTAAGATGCACGTAAACATTCTATTTCTATAAGACAATGTATGTAATCATCGTGTTATAATGTATTTTTTTATATGTACTTCGAATCGATTGATTTAACATTTAGTACACGTCTCAATTAGTAAAATTATCAATTCAAAACCACTTGTATAGCTTTTATAGAAGCTCCTGACTTTCATTGTAGTTTCACCTAGACTCAACATTTTATTAGATTAGTAATATTTTGGCACATTCTCCTAACGTTGGTATATCATGTATCATTGTATGTGTATCATATATGTATAGTATAGATATATATTACGTTTTTATGCTATTACCAATGGCTCATCGTCTGAGAAGCCTCTAATCACAGGGCTATCTTCTTCTTCTGCTAAGAAAAAGGATATATCGTATAATTTAGAAATATTTATAATAACAAATATTCAAATATTGAATATATTATTATTACTCACCTAAACCATCAGTGGTACCAGGGAATGTTGCTTGGCCTCGTCTCGTATCGTAATGACTGTTAGCAAATTGTGTGAAACTATTAGATAATCTTCTATGTCGTACAACGAAATATGCTAGTGCTGAACCCAGAGCTATGACGAGCAAACAGATTGGTATTGCGAGGGATATGATATTCGATGTATTCATAATCACTGGCCATGCTATTAATTCAACAAAATATTAGAAACAAGAAAAAGAGAAAGTGTAGTTTATAATGTTCATCACTTAAAAAATTACCTGTTGGACTCTCTACACTTCGAGTTTCACTCAATATACTTTTATATCCTTCCTCGGTAACCAATCTAACTGCAAAGGTATATATTATATCTGGTTTTGCATTTTTGTATACATAAGGTGGTTGATCAACTTTAAAGATCTGAGCATTAGTTTCATTTATTATTCGTGTTCCCTCCGCTACTAAAACCTCGTAATGGTAATTGGTAATTTTGGTCATATGTTCAGGTTGATGGCTCTCCAGCCAGTCCACAAAATAATTTCCTTCTTCATGCATTACTTTTAATTGATGAGGTGGTAAGATTGGAGGTGCATAATACTTTACTGGGTGACTAGGTATAGCATTCTTAACGTCTGTTGCAATTACCACACAGTATACTCCGCCGTATTTGATATTGTTAAACGTGTGTTTCATAATTGACTCATTTGTTGGTAGTGGCGTTACAGTTTTTGTTTTATTCAGCGTCAATTCTGTTAATGTAATCTTTAAAGAAAAAAGATAAATATTAGAGAAACGATTACTTAGTTTATTAAGTAACTATATAACATTAACTTACCGTGTAACTGATCGGTTCCTCGATCGTAGGACAACTTGCACTCCAAGATACGATGATACTATCGCTTTTATTTGATAATGTCACCTTAACCCTTTTTGGTGGTGCTCGTACGTTAAAATGGGTCGTAACAGCAACTGGTTGACTCAAGGGACCAGCTCCGTAATCTCCATTGACGCCAACTCCAAAAATGTATGACTCGCAAGCTTCTAAGTCTTTAATTGTAGCAGTCAAATTTGTTGTAAGATTTTTATACTCTAAAAAACACAAACACGAATAGAATCATATTAGAATGAATTAACTCATATGAGAGGACTATTATCTTGAAAGTGCAGAAATTTTGAAACAATGTATTGTCTATCAATATTATACCTCTAAAGAATTCTTGCATGTTGAGACCATAATGAATTGCATACTGCCATTTAATTTTTCTAGGACTTTTTGGCGGATCCCATGTGAGTTTAACCGTTGTTCCGTGAGGTTTAACCAATTGTGCATCAAGCTTTGTTATCGATGGCAGTGGCGCCCCTTTTGTGGCAGCAACTACAACATTTACTTTGCCTACGTAATTCTTTTTTGTTGCAGCAACTTCAAATGTATAATTAACTCCAGGAGCTAAATTCTTAACTTCAATTGTATTTTCCATAGTAATCAATGTTTTCGAAGCAGGATGTAATGAATTTGTTCTCGGAGTGATATGGTAACCATCTGCATCTTTCACTTTCTTCCACGTTAAAGTTACAGAATGATTGGTTGTTTTAGTTACATTCAAATCTTCTATTTCATCAATATTTGCTGCACTATCAAAGGTTAATATAGCGACTTTCGAAGCATTTGATTCGTGTTCTCTATTCTTTGCAACAACCCAGAATGAGTAATTTTGAGAAATCTCAAATGAAGTATCTATAATTCCTGAAGTCTTTTGCCATGAAAATCGCAAAGGTGGTGTAGGCGGAGAGATGAAGCAATCGTATCCAGTAATAGGTCCATTTGGACGCAAAGGCGCCCGCCATGAAACTTTAACAGTTCTGCCAGTTATTTGAGTAATCGTTACATTCCATGGTTCTGAAGGTACACCCTCTCCTGTCATAATTGTCAAGTACTTAGCTGGTGGGAAGACAGTACTTTGTCCTTTTATTCTCACATAAACTGTAAGATTGTAAAGTGAATAAGATTGAAGACCACTGAACAAATATTCAGTGCCTTCGATCCAGTTGGATGCATTATTCCACTTTGCATCTGATTCGACTCGTGCAATAGATGGTAAAAATTCGAAAGTTACATTAGTTGGTATTGGTATCCACCAGAAAAGGAAAAGACTAGTAGAATTTATCAAACGTTCATCAACACTCATAACAAGCACTTGGTAAATGCGAGAATTATTCTTATCGCAATTGCTCTCGTCGAATCCATCTAAGCAATCATGATTACCATCACAATAAGATGCCAGAGGGAAACAACGTGTTTCGTCGCAAGGGAATAGACCAACGTAACAAGATGGTGTTGCAGCTGGACTTGGATACTGAACAGGATGACAGCCAAGTTCGTCAGAGCCATCAGGGCATTCTTCTACGTCGTTACAAATGTTTGATAGCGGAACGCA